CCCCTCTAAGGACACTGTGACTCTGATTCCTCTAGAGCCCTAGTCTATGTCCTCAGATGTCGCTCCTCAGTAAGGTCCATCTCAGCGTGGCCTCTTCTCAAATGGGTGGAGAAGGGCTGTACCCCGTTTTGCAGCTGGGGTCCCTGAGGTGGGGGATTCTGGCTGCTGCCTCTGGGTGCAGGGCAGGAGCTGCCCTGGGGTGCTGCTCTGGGAAGAGAGCTAGTGTGGGGGACGCGCTGCATGATGAGGACGTGGTGTCTGCTGCTTTGCTCCTGCTGTGTGGAGGATACTCGTGGGCGCTCACGAACCCCTGAGTTTCTGACAGGGGGCAGGACAGTGTCTCAGGAAAGCCTGACCCCATCGGAGTACATCAACTCTCCAGCGGTTCCTTCCTCGGGCACCTGACCACCACCTCCTTTATCCACTCTGTGGCTGGTTTCCCTCTTGTCTATTCTCCCCTGAGACTCAGTAGCTCCCCACTTTTGTGCCACCCATTTCTGAGGCAGTTTTCTATCTCTTCTCTCCCGTATGGGGCTTGGGTGGGGGAGAAAGAGCTACTGAGTGAACGCAGCCTGCCATCTTGAAATTCTGAGCCTCGAGGAAAAACTCCCGCGAAGGGCACAGTGACTTTCCCTAGGTCACTGTCACCAGTTATCCGCATCTGTCTCTTGAATCTGAATCCAGCCACCGTTCCCTCACACCGGGCTGCCACTTTGCTTTTCTTTCTCAACCTTGAGGCAGAAAAATGCCAGAAATCAGAGATGGGCCTGTGGGTCCTGGTTCTCCCAGCACACCACGTGCTCCTGGCATGATCCTGGCGACCACCATTCCGGCCCGTATGACCAGCTGGGTAGCTTTTGTGGTACCTTTCTTTGTCCTCCCTGCCCGTAACTCAAACTTGGTCAGGCAGCCCTGTTCTACAACTTGTCACAGGAGTGGTTGGCTTCAGGCCCAGGTGTTTACTTGGAAGGGATCAGAGCCCAACCTCTCACACCCAAGGAAGAATGTTTCCAGGCCCGTTCAGGAGGAGACCTACACTGCTGCAGGATTCTCCAGAGACCCAGAGCCTGCTGGCTTTCCAACCTCCTTTCACTGTAGCCAGTCCTGCCTCCCAGATCCAGCTGTCCAGTAGTCTAGCTTCAACTCTCTGACGTAAAAGAGCGAAGTTCATCGTGTGACAGATGCCAAGGACACACAGCTCTCCCATCTCTCTGGCCCGAACTTCTCACTTCTTTGAACGTCTGTGATGGTCTCCCAGCCCCTCACAGCCCTGTCCTCCGCCTTCAGCCCCATTCAAGGATACGAAGGCCAGCACAGTGTGGGACTTGGAGCACAGGCCAGAGCACCTGTGCCACAGCCTGCCCACCGACCAGCCTGGCCTGGCTTACTGTGATGGTCCCAGCCCCTCACAGCCCTGTCCTCCGCCTTCAGCCCCATTCAAGGATACGAAGGCCAGCACAGTGTGGGACTTGGAGCACAGGCCAGAGCACCTGTGCCACAGCCTGCCCACCGACCAGCCTGGCCTGGCTTTTGTCGGGTGGCGAAAGGTTCCCTCACTGGCCCCACTTCCTCTTTCCCGTGAAGGCAGGTTGCCTATCTGCCTGTGTTTTGACCCAGCTTCTTACAGTCTGGACTCCTGACCGTGGTGGGGGTTACTCTTGCCAGCTTTGTGTCTCCTGCCAGCAAATTCTGAGAATGCCCGTGTCTTCATCCAAATCATGAGGCCCAGCTAGGGAGGGGAAGGTGGATTAAAGAGGGCAGAAGGATAAAAGGAAAGGGAGGAACACGACAGAGGCAGCACTTGCCGGGCTGTCTAGAGGCCGGGCCCTCCTCTCCGCTCCTTCGGTATGACTTCCCCAGGGGCTGCCACGTTCTTTCCAGCCCCGCTGCTCTCCTTCCACGTCTGTCCTAGAGACAGGCTCATGATCTGGACCATAATGTTAGGTAAAATAAATCTGATACACAGGCTTGATTATTGTATTCTATCTCTACTTATATGAGAAGCCCGAAATATAAATAAAGGGCAAAATAACAGGTAACATGAAACAGGGAGATAAGATGTTTTTCAAAAGGGAAGGGCACCAAAAAATGGAGAGTAGGGAAGGGGATGAAATGTATTACGTATACGTGCCAACTCCCCCTGGTGAATGCAATCATTACATACTGCAACCGTGTACTAATACATTTTTTTAAAAAGATCTGTGCCAGGCATGGTGGCACATGCCTGTAATCCCAGCACTCGGGAGGCTGAGGCAGGAGGATCGCTGTGAGTACGAGACCAGCCTGAGCTACATAGTGAGTTCCAGGGCAGTCTCAACTACATAGTGAGACCCTGCCTCAAATAAATAAATACATAAATGCCACAGCTCTCCACTCCCACCCCCTCATTCTGTTTTTGTTTTGTTTTGTGGTACTGGAGATTGAAGCCAGGGCCTTCGCACTGAGATATATCCTCAGCCATTTTTAATTTGTGAAGCAGACAGCGGAACCACTAAGCCAAATTCCCGGCCCTTCAGCCACTTTTAATTTGAAACATGATCTTGCTAAGCTGCTAAACTGCCCAGGTGAGGCTTGAACTTGAAAGCCTCCTGCCTCAACCTGCCCGAGTGCTGGGGTTGTAAGCGTGTGCCACCATGCCTGGCAGAGACTACAGGTCACACCTTGCACCAATGTCTCGGAACAAATATAAGAACAAAATGTAAGAGGATACATTTACTGTTGGAAGACAGATGTGCATGCATGCATGCATTTTGGGCTAGGTATGTTTAATTAAATGTATCACAGGTAGACATTGACCCAGCATACAAAGCTGCTATTTCACCGCAGGGCTCCTCTGGATAATGAACTCTTGACTGTGCCACTGCAGGGCGCAGGGAGGAGTCTCCTCTGCTGGTCTCCCCAGAGGACCTGTACCTCTGTTTGCAGAGGCAGCAGAGGAAGCTAGAGGGCTGGGTCCCAGCCCTGTTTAGCAGCCCAACGGGAATCTAAGAGTTGTCCCCACTGCTCCCCGAAGTGAGACAAGGCAATTCTCTTTCTCCTGAGGCTATGGCTGTGTCCAAGACCCGGCATTTCAGAGGGAGAGCCTGTCCATGGACCTCCGTCACTCCTGGGGCGAGACCAGGAGAGGACAGTTTGTGCCCGTGCAGCTCCTACCGAGCTGTCCCAGGTCCGGCAGGCCCTTCAAGTCCTTCCTCTGTGGGTGACCCCCAGCCTGGTGCAAGAGCATGCAGAGCCGCCCCCGGCTTCTCCGGACAAGAGGGGGGCACCCGGGGAGGTCCCTTACTGATGAGCAGAGTGACACACGTGCCTTGGCCTGTGCGTGGTTGTCTTGTGTGCTGCAGGTCTTGGCCAAGTTACCTCAGTGGTTCTTCCCTCAGGTTTCTTAGCCCAGAATCCTCCTGACTACATACACACTCCTCACCCTCCATTTAGGAGTCTAAGTCTCACCACAGGGCCTGTCCATTCTAACTGGCCACCCTCTTGGAACTCAGCCCAAGCGATATTTTTGGGACCTTCCTGCAATGTTTGAGGGAAGCTTTCCCCATAAACAGCCCTCGAGGAGGATGTTCCAACCCCTGGGCCCACTGTGCTCACCAGGATGCCGTCCTCCTACCCGCTGGGCAGGCTGCTCAGGCCTCACAGACCCTGCCTCCCTCTCCCGGAGACGGCAGAACCAGGCCCTTGCCTGTGAGTGGCGCGTGAGTCTTTACGAAGATAAAACGACCCCTGAATCTAAACTACCTTTATTTGTGGCTGGCTCAATGTAAGGTGCCATCATTAATCAGAATTATAAAACTGTACAGGAGGTACAAAAATAGGCTTTTAACTTTACATAATGACCCTCATATCATCAAGCTTTAAAAATACACATAAAAACTGTACAATCTGGCAGTTTATAAAATATAAAGCTAAAAAGAGAATTTTAGGCTCCACAGAGGATTGTATCACACAATTAACACAAACCATTTAAAACAATCATCCACAGAGAAGACACATGGCACGTGATTAAAAAAAAAAAATCACTTAAAAATCAGCATTTTACCCCAACCTGATTATTAACCCTTTAAAGACAAGGCATCCATCCCATAAGAGGATACAGTATAACTCTTCCTTTCCAGTTTTAAAATGGGCAGGGATATTGTCCAAAACAGATCTAATGTGCTTTTAAGCAAGTGCAAATGTAACTGGATACGCTTCAGAGTAAAAATTAAATAAATATAAATAGGTTCAATAAATAGGTCATTGCAAAAAAGAACCCTACACAAGGTTCACGAGAGAGAATGCCACACAGCTGACCGGTAATGCTAGGGGAGTGGGGACTTCTCCATCACGGCTCTGCAGACACTGGGAACACTGCACCCTCAGGGCAGGCGGATGGCAGAGGCCTGGCAGTAGGGACTTTGGCTGGCAGCATGGTGAAGGCTGCTCCTGAGGGAGGCTCGCGGCAGATGCATCCTTTGTGGTCTTCCAATGAATACGGACAGGACTGAGGTAGTGAAATAAAAATCACAGCCGGAGTCACTTATGGAAAACCACTGCTTCATAAAGACAACAAAGAACAAGAAGAGAGCAGATACTTTGGCTTAAAAGATTAACGATCCAACCCTGGAAGGGGGAATCTGGGCTCCCTACATAAGATGACTCCTTCTGGGAAATGCCAAGGCCAGGTCACAGTCAACTAACACCCCTGCACCTGGGGCAAAGGGGGACACAAAGGGAAACGTGGATGCAATTTCCAAAAGCAAAGAGCAGAGAGGGGCGGAAGTGAAATTTAAAGAGGCCGCTGCACTTCCTCTTCCTTCCAGCTCTCCTGATAACTTCCGGCCAATGGATGATGAGAACGAAGAACAAGGGTCCAGTGAACAGACGGAGAGCGGAAACATGGGGAGAGCTACCCTCAGCCAAAGGTCAGCTGCTAAACAGAAAGTGGCCAGGAGGGGAGAGAGAGCCCTGCAACCCCCAGACTGCTTCTGTGGAAGCTTTTCTCAGCAGCCAACTAATTGCAATCTTACTGTAGCGAGAAAGAACTGCCATAGAGCTGGGAAGACAGCGTTTTGCTGGACCCCGCTGTTCAGTGTTAGTCTGCAACTGACCGGTGCTGTATCACAGAAAAGCTTGCAACAACTGCTGCACCAAGAACAGGGACCCCCTGTGCCCAGAATTCACCTCCAGCCACCCGATGATGTCGTGACTGGTCAGGTGATAGCAGTGTTCTCGAAAGTGCAAATGCTTTGGTGCTTAGTGACGTGCAGCTTCTTTCAAAAACTGAAATTAAAGAATCAAGGAGCGATGAGAGAAGCGTGTCAGAGGGGTTCATCACGAGCGCAATACAAGTCCTTAAGTCTTCTGATTCCTAAGAGGCATAACTGAATATTGTCTGAAAGATGGAGAAAAATTAAATAGCCTTCCAAGACTAGTTAGAAGGCCCGCGTAGCTTGAACTAAGGAGGCACGATGTCACACAGCTGTTCTGGCCTCGGAAAGACAGCTTCCCCTCGGTGAGGACAATGGGAAACTGGAATTCTTGGCTCAAACTGGATACAGCAGGTACACTCGGGATGTTTCCCAAACCAATGTCTCCACAAGAACTCTTCAGGCAAACCTGGAGGACTGACGAGTCTGAATCCCTAAAGGTGAGCAGAGAAGACAGACAGGTGACCTGACCACAGCTGGTATTTCTGGGACGGGGATTTTAAGGCAGAAGGTGTGCAAACCCCACACACGCAGCCTTCCCCACCTGCTTGCATTCTCTGTAGTATTATACTTATTTGCTGTTGGCTCTCTCACAAAAGCTTTACAAAGGCAGAGCTTGGCCTGTCTGGCTCTTTGGTTTCCATAGCACCCTGTGGCCGACCCACGTCAGTACAGTATGTCCTCTAATAAAATATGCCAAATACAGGAGTCTGAGAAATTTGGATGGTTAGAAATGAATCTCTCTGATGAGCAGAAAAGGAACCTGAAAAAGCTGTCTCCAGGCAGCTAGAAACAGGGAGATGACAACAAACTGAGCCACTAGAAATCACCTGGGCACTTCCTGGATGGAAAACAGCCACCAAGAACAAGGGGAGCAGCGGTCCACAGAGCAGTCCTGTCAGGTAACACCTGGCACCTGCTTCACCTCTTCACACCCCCTGGGCCGTCACCCCTCAGACCCCAGGCAAAGCAACTGCAGCCACGTGCGGGGAAACTGCAGAAAGCAGTCAGAGCAAGAGGCAACCGTCTGGCCACGCTCCTGGAAGACCAACCATGTGATGGAAGATGGTGAGGAAGCCAAGCGAGAGGCTGAGGTTCCAAGGCTTACGTAAGCAGGGTCATTCATGAGGCTCAAAGATGTGAGATCATGTTAATATGAAGACAGAGAGTCACTCTGGCCTTTCTAAAAGCAAGGCTGAAATCTCCAGAGGCAGAATGAGATTTGGGTGAGTGGCACTGACACAAACACAATCAGAAAACTTCTCACAGGAGGAAGCAGGAGTGACTCCCGTTGGGGCTCAAAGCTGGCGATGCCACTCTTAGCCAGGGACATCGGAACTAAGACTCAGCTTGCCAGGGCCGGGGCAGTGACCCTGATCAAATGGAGGAAGAGGACACACAGCGCTTCCTCCTATGGCCCCTGATTGCATCTTAACTTCCAAGGCTCTCCGGAGGGGACAGAGGAAGTTCTGACTGAAACTAAAGTAAAAAAATTATATTAATTTGAGAAAAAAGGGTAGTGACATAACTTAGGGTACATTACTCTGACATTAATACATTTATACAGTGTTGCCAGAATGTTTTATCCTTCAGCATTAGAGAATGTTCTAAATGGAACACTCTTAAAGGCATGGAGATTTTTTGGTACCACATGAAATAGAAGATATATCTTGCATTTCTTTTTCACAAGTAAGTTCATGTTAAATTCAGCTCACTTAAGCTCATGTAGCATTCTACAGTATGGTTGAAATGTAGCCATTAAAATTTGCCAGGAGAAACATAAAAGCTGGCCCACAAACCCCAGTCACTTGGCCTCGGCTCCCACCCCCAGGCCCTGACCCAGCACATGTGCCCTGATGAGCTGGCCTCAGAGACGGAGCAGCCTTATCCTCACAAGCTGGTTCAGGGCTTTCTCTAGGTGGCTGGGAGACTCCCACTCCGTTGCTCCCTTCTTGTCGAGAAGATTTGTCCGTATGTCGTCTTAGCTGCTCTCACTGATGGCCAGGGAACTCTTCATCTCCTGCCCCTACGGCCCAGGACGTGACCCGCCACAGGCGACCGTTCAGGCCACCAGGGTTACCATGCAGGTAGCACTGCATCGTGAACACAGCATCCTCTTCATCTCCCAGGGCCCTGAAGATCTGTCTCAACTGCCCACAGGCGTCAGCGGCCAGTCTCTAACTTCATGCCTTATGCCAATGGCTTCACTACCTAAGAAAACACTGCTGGGCACATCTGTGATCGTCGAGGTACCGCCTGTCCCCGGAACAACCCCTCTGAACGTCCTCCTCCTCAGTGCTCCTCACCTCTTGAGCCCACTTCTAGCAGAGGCTGCACTTCCTACATCCCAGCGTGCAGGCAAAACCTAGGATTCTTCCACTCTCTTCCTGAAAGTCCCGCAGACTGACACGAAACAGGAATTTACAGAGAGGTAAGCGAGAGGAGCTCATCCAGCAGGTCAGCAGGGTCCCTTCTACGGCCTCTGTGATGAGCTCGCCTCTGCAGACACCTCTGTACCAGGAAAGGGCAGCTTCTCCTCCACTCCCTGGAGGTCTCAAAGGCTGCTTCTCCCCCTTCCTGGGGTCAGCATCATCCTCTGCTGGCTGCAGAGGGGGCAGCTCAAGGCACTTGGTTTGGGAAGCCTGGTCTCCCTGCCAAGCCGGGTGGTGTCAGGCTCTGGACTACAGACCAGGCCCGCTGTCACAGCTGGGGCCACCAGAACAGAGTCACCCAGGCTCAGAGGGCATCTGGAGTCACTGGGGGCTGGGGCTCGGGGGGTTCATGGAAGTAGTAGGGCTGGAAGAGTCTCTCGTGGCTGCACAACTCCATGGCCCGGTAGGTGTGTGAGAGGAGGTGGGGGAACCGTGATGTGAAGTAGCGCACAAAGTCATCGGGGAGGGAGCCCAGGGTCTCCTGCACCTCCACGGGGAGCTCCCGGTAGTGGTGCTTCTGCAAACAGACAGAAACAGAGTTAGCAGTTGGGAGACAGAGTGCCAGCTGCTTCTGTTTAAAGAAAAGAGGTCTATGCGCCCCACAATCTGCCCCAATCGGGCTGCCTGCATCTCCGCTCCTAGGAAGGTGCCTCACAGCAAGCGAGGCCCAGCCTGAGCAGAGGCAGAGCTCCACTCTCAGAGCAGCACGTCCAGCAGGAGTGCACAGGCCAGAGAGGGCCATCACGTAGCCACATCACGTGGAACTGAAGTGTGCGACCCATGAGCTTGGAGATCACTTCTGTGCCTCGGGCAGGTGACAGCACAGAACATGATCACAAGCAGGAAACCCTCCCTGAATACCTGAAGGCCAGGCCCTGTGTGACAAGGTGCCCAGAGGATCCCCACTGGTGGGTTTGTATGGTGGTCATCAAACAGCTGCAGGGCATCGTGAAGCACAGGGAGCCCATGAGGGACAGGAGGTCACGGACTTAGAGCCACTGTTCCCCAGTGATTCACCCTGCATCCCGACACCCCAAGAGAAAACCCACATGAGGGGAGAAACAGCCTTTAACTCATCAGGTCCAAGGCCACAGAGCCTCAGGGGTGGAATCAGGAGGAAGAAAAGCTTTCTTAGGTGTCTGTGTGGCAGCCACCGGCCCTCCCAGAAACCACAAGTCCTTTACCTTATTTCTCATGGCTCGCAGGAGATCTCTCACAGAGCCACCCTTGTAGGTTCTAAATTTACGCAAATCTAGAAAAACATTAAGGGATGCAATGGTTGAGCAAATAACAAATACATCTTCAAAAGAGAACCATTCTGGGCCAGGGATTTAGCTCAGTGGTTCCGCCACCTGCCTCGCAAGCACAAGGACCCAAGTTCGATCCCCAGTACCAATGCCCCACCTCAGACTGGAGGGTGGTGTGCATCTCACTTAGACCAGAAACAGCCCTACAGCACAGCACTGGTGTTAACCTGTCACCCAAAGAAACGAGCACCAGACACCCACGAGTGTAACCATGCCCCGGAGGACACAGCCGAGAAAATCTCAAAGTGGAGAAACGGGACGTGGAGCCCACACAGTTGGACCTGCTTTGTCCACGCTAATTCCTTAGACACGGCTTCTGCTTTTCAAACTTCTTCATGGGCGTCAGCATGCTCACCTGTCTGGAGGGGCACAGTGATATTCTCCCGCCAGTCCATCTTCACCACGGCTCGCCCGCCTCTCTCTAACTGCCTCACGATTGGGCCATCCAGGGACTCCTTTTCTATTCGGTCACTCACGTCCTGGGCGGGAAGCGAGGCAACAGGTGTTGGTCAGAGTGAGGGACGCTGAGCGCAGGAGGTGGCTGGACACGCTGCGGCACGAATGGCCACTGCCGTGCGCTTGGAAAGACTGATGTTCCCCAAGCCCGGGCCGCAGCCCACCTCAGAGCTGGGCATGAGCACGCTGCACTCCGCCACCCTAACCCATGACTTCTGCTCGTGGACAGCCACGGCTGTCGCTCATGGGGACAGGCCTAGAGACCCTCTGCACAGCAGAGAGGTGCCACAGAGGCACACCTGTGCAGACCGTGAAGTCTGCCTCCAGACACGGGCACCACGCCTGCACAGGGCCAGATGTGCATGAACCAGAACGAGAGGAAAGAAAAAGCTCAAACTGATTTGCATATTGTGTGCCACCTACTCGTTGAGATAGGACCTGTTCCAGTCCTAACTAGCAGAGGTCCCCACTCCTCATCCTGAACATCAGAAAAGACAAGAAGCGAGCCGGGCATAGTGGCAAAGCCTGCAATTCCAACTCTCTTGGAGGCTGAGGCAGGAGGCAGGAAGATCACAATAAAAAGTAAAGAAAAGCACTGGGAATGTAGCTCAGTGTGAAGGTCCTGGGTTCAATTCCCAGTGTAGAAAGAAAGGAGGAATGGTGTGGGGAGGAAAAAAGGAAGACAGATGGACATGAAGCTGAGCTTTGTTTCTTTTCTGTTTTTTGTTGTTGTTTTTGTTGTTACTAGGGATCGAACTTGGGCCCTTGTGCTTGCGAGGCAGGTGGTGGAACCACTGAGCTAAATCCCCGGCCCCCTGAGCTTTTTGAAGAGGAAATTTAGTAGCGTGTAAACTTGGACTCTGAAGACACCCCCTTCGCCCAGAATTCAGACTCTTCTCCATGTTTGGCTCTGGCAAGAAGGACAGAGCAGCCCCCGAGCCACCGGCAGTAAGACAGGTCACTAGCCGAAGGAGCAGGAAGTGATGAGCCCCCCCTCGTTAATGCTAACCAGTCTTAGGGGAGTCATAGTCCTGTCTTTCTCTGAAAAGGGCGAAGCCAGACTGGCAGAACCAATCTGCAATTCTAGAGAGAACTCTGAAGAGGTTACACTGCCACCCAGGGCTTGTTGAGGACATGTTTCTGGGCTAAGAGGCAGTTACAACTAGTTGACAGGGATGGGAGCTAATGCCATGTGCTGGCGGGAGGCACGGGGGCGAGTTATGCCCAACTCGCACCAGGCAAATCAGAGAAACAGTCTCCACAAAGCCACCTGGCAAGGTCGCCGAGCCACAACTGTCCAAAGCCCAAGGAACCCACGGTCATTGAGCTCACACCGTAACTCTACAGAATCTATCATAAGCAAAACATAATCTGGGTAAAGATTGAATTGAAGATGATGGGGGGAAAATTCCATACAGGAAATATTTAAATTATGACACTTGAATGAAATTATATGATGTCTGAGATTGGCTGGAAATAATCTGAAGTAAAGACAGGGCAAAAATTAGTACTTTCTAAGCTGGGGGAGGGGTATGAGAAGTATGTGGTCTGCTTTTGTGTATATTTGGAAATCCCATAATATAAAATTTAAAGATTGTGGCATGTTCACATGATATATTACAGTCATTAAAATTGTATAACTCTAACATGAAAAATGCTTAAAATAAAATTTTAAGAAATCTTTGAAATATTATGTACAGTAAAGGCAGGATAAAAAACTATATATACGGAGTTATTCCTTGGTTATGGGATTATGGGTCGATTTTTTTTTTTGTTTGCTTTTTGAGACAGGGTCTTACTATGTAGTTGAGACTGACCTGGAACTCACTATGTAGCCCAGGCTGGTCTCAACTCACAGTGATCCTCCTGCCTCAGCCTCCCCAGTGCTGGGATTATAGACACGTGCCACCACACCCAGCCAGTTATTTTATTCTTTGTCCTTTTCTTCTGTATTTCAAAATCTGGAAGACACTGAAGACTTTGGATGGAGAAACAGACCTGAAAGAACTGGAGCTGCTTTTCCACGCTCCAGAAGAAGGGATGTTTCAGCACGTGCTTTGCCGAGGGCCGCTGCTGGGGATCCATTGCGATCATTTTCTCTATCAGCTCACGGGCAACGATGTCTTCTGTAAGAGAGAAAAATCAGCAGGCAACCCATTATTTCAAATGCAAAGCCACAGTGAAATCCCCAAAGTCGGCAATCTTCACGGCCTTTCATGCGGGATTCCATTTACAAGTGATTCTAATGAAATAAGAACTCAGATCACACTTCAGCCAAGCAGGGGGGCCTCACTATGTGCTGTGTGGAAAGGGCTGACTGCGAGCACCCAATAGGAGAGGTCTGGGAGACGCTGCTTGCTGTGCCCCAGGTACTATGAGCCATCAAAATTATTCTGCAGCTAAACATGGACTCACAGACAGATATTCAAGATGAAGTTGAAAAATGAATCTGTTTTAAAGTAGTATGTGCGGTTTAATCTCTTCGTGAAAGTATGTGTAAATGTCTAGATCACTGAGAGGAATAACATATACCAAGGCCTTAATAGCATTCATCCCTGCATAATGGAATTATAGACCTTTGTTTTCCTACAGTGAATAATAAAAATTAACCTACAAACAAAACAATAGTTCAGTTTTAATTTTTCAAAAGGCAGCACTGGAATATCATGGGACAATTATAACCCAGCTTAAAAAAAAAATTATAACTCAGCAATTCCTGAATTCAGGAAGGAAGACTTTTTATACCTGAGCCAGGAGAGTGTGGACAGAGCCTGTCTGTCCCCTGCCCAGCGCAGACTGTGTCTGCTGACCAGGGCCCCTCACAGAGTCCAGTTTATGAAGCACAGCCAAGCTGTTTACCAAATGCCAGTACAGGAAGGACCTCATTATTCAACCCTCACGTGGCAAGTTGGAAAACAGGGTACCTTACTCAGATCACACGGCAGTTGGTGCTCCCAGGATTACCCTGGGCAGCCGTCCCTGAGGCCCAGGGGGAGCGGCTGGGTGGCAGGACCTCTGGGAGTGCAAAGGCCCCACCAGCCCAGTCCCAGCTACTCACCGTGCTTCTCTGGGTGGAAGCAATCGAGATTGCAGGCACCCAGGAGGATGTTGGCCTGCCGCTGCAGGGACTTGCCAAAAGGGTGGCTGCCCTCAGAGATGACATAGTAAAAGACACAGCCTGCAGAGAAGATGTCCACTGTGTAGGTCTGCAAAGAAATGCAGGGCATGTGAGATCCTGGGGAAGAGTTCTCACCTCACTTGTGGTCAGGGAGGGAAAAAGTACTGCGGCTACATCAGCCCTGGAAGGTGTCCTGGGAATCAGCTAATGGACATGAGATGCCCAGAGCAGCGAAGGCACCTTTCAGCACTGTGCTGGTGTTGTGGTCACAGTGGAGGACGAGGGACCAGGGGCCAAGCACCTGGGATGCCATCTCTGGGGAAGCCCCTGACCACTCCATTCTTCGACTCCCTCACGTGTGAAAAGAGGACAGCGCTGGTTTGCTCTTCAACACTACAGATTGCATGAAGATCTGATGCATTAATATGTGAAAATGGCCATGTACAGCAGCACTTGGCCCCCAGAAAGCTCTCCTGGCTGTCACATGTTCTTTACCCAAGCATCAAGAAAGTCTTCATTGGCAGGGACCTCTGTGTGTTTGCTCCCCTATGATACCCCTAAGGTCTAGAGGGTTAGTAAGTAGTTTTCAGTTCAAAAACTTATCTGCAAAGAAACCACTGGAGAAATACCCAAGGAGGTGGTTTTGACTTTATCTGATGTCTCAGCCTTATCCTGAAAAATCATTCAGAGTGTACAGATGAGCTTTGTAAGGAAACACGCGCGTGACTTCCAGCTCATGCTACTTAGGGTATGATGAGGGGTCCCAAGCATGGCTAAGGTCCGGACTGTCAGGTTCTGCCCCTTAGATTCACTACCAGACAACCTGCAGAGAAACCTAGTGACTCACTACCATCACACTGGAGAAAACAAACCTTTAGCAACATGGCACACTCAGCCTCACAACAGCTTTGTGGGGCGGGCACAGCAAATGTCACCAGCCCCCAGATATGGATATGAACAGAAGGGTTCAAGGACCAGCTACGGGCCTGCTGGATAGCAACGAACCAGGGCAAGACTCGGGATTCAAATGTTGGTATATGTGCTGCTGAAACGAGCACAGGTCCTCCAGTTTCAAACCTGGAAATCTTTATTCTACCTCACCGGAATTTTCTCTGGGCAGGTGACAGATATGGACAGGAAGAACACAGCCCTCACAGCTAGAGTGCTTCACTGACCCTACCTCACTTTCTCACAGTACCACGCCATGCTGCCCATGCTCCCGAAGCCTCCCTGCTTCCCTGATGGGGCTAAGGAGGCACCTTTCCTGCCACCAGGGTCCCAGTTCTGTTCTTCCCCAACACAGTACTGCTGCTTCTCTTGTCGTTTAAATACTCTAGAAGCTGATAAAACACTAGTTCCACTAAGTGTTTTGTTTTGTTTTGTTTTCCGGTACCAGAGATCGAACTCAGGACCTGGTGCTTGCGAGGCAGGTGCAGCACCATTGAGCTAAATCCCCGGCCTAAGTACCGCTAAGTTTGCAGTAAGCTGAATCAATGGAAAGAACCAATACAATTGGGAATTAGGTAAGATAGTATAGTAAGGACCAGGGCTGTAAAGAGTTAAAAACTATGACTCAGCTCTAAAATCACTTAGGACGCATTTGAAATGTCTGCGCTTCACTCCAGTCATAGAAGTGGCCTGTGAATGTGCTTAATTGAAGAGTAATGAATAACTCCAATCAGACCCAAATCCAAAGAAAAGATCCTGACCTACAGCCAAAGATTCCTATTGCTTCAAGAACTACACTACTTGCGTTAAGTTAAAATACAGTGTTGAAAGTGGGTAAAAGAGCTCCTACTGTGTATAATCTGTCAGGATGGCTGATCCCGCCCAGGTCTGGCTCAGGAAGGACAAGGTGAGCCTTTTTAAAAAAGTCTTGCTATGTAGTTCAAGCTAGCCTCGAAGTCACCGGGCTGGCCTTGATTGAACCCATGGCAATCCTCCTGTCTCAGCCTCCTGTGTGCTGGGACTACAGGCGTGCACCACCACGCCCGGTAAGGTGAGCCTTTAAATGACTTCTTGTGCCAATGAGTTAAGATTCTTGCCCATAAGTGTGTCTGTGGCAAATGGATGCCAAAACCAGCTTGTAGGGGCACTTGTTGGCTAAATCTGGGACAATTTGAGTATGAGGAGAAAAAGCAAAGAGAAAAAGAATTGATTATGAACTATTTAAAAATCCTGAGTCCAGTGATTAAGTAAAAGAAGAGGAGGAAGAGAAGGAAGAGGAGGAGGAGCAAGAGGAGAAACAGTAAAAATAAAGCTACTCTGCCTAAAAAGGTCAGCAAATAAATGTAGAAGAATGTCACTGTGCTGAATGCCTCAGGCAAGAATGAGAGCCAGTGGGTCAGTGACGGCTGTACACCGTGCCAAGGGGTCACCTCGCACACGACTTGCTAGAAACCAAGGGGAGACAAACTTCCCCGGAGGAGAGCTCAGCGGATCCAGGCGGCCCATGCTAGCATCACTGCAGACATAATGATGGCACAGTCTGCCGTCATGCACCTCCTGATGCGGGTCTGCTCTGGCCCAAACATTTCACTTAGATCTAATGAAACCAAAAGATGTAACTTCTAGTTCACAAGAAATACAAATAGAGAGAAATGTCAAGCATTATCATGGGAGACAAACACACAAACCCAGAACAGGGCATTCTACAAACTACTACCTGGGCCCCGAAATGTCAGCCCTGGGAAACAAAACAGATGGAAGACTGCTGTGAATCTGAGAGAGACAGTCAAAGGCAACACAAGATACTCACAAAACCCAGCTGTATGAAAGACTTTTAGGGACTGAGGGGAAATGCGAATGTGGAGTGACTATCAGATGAGAGCAGAGAGTATTAACTGCCCAGGTATGATGACAGTCTGGTGGTGAGGAGCAGAAGGATTTGTTCTTAGAAACACATGCTGCAGTATTGAGGGGCGAAGGGCAAGAATGCCTGTTATTTATTCAAAGGCTTCAGTGACATATAAATAGACAAAGATAAAGCAAATGAAGCAAAAGTGTCCACAAAGGTTGAGGGTGAACAGAGGTGCCCAAATCATACCAATGTTCTTTCAATTTTCTGTATGTCTAAAAATTCTCAAAATAAAAAGCTGTGAGCAGGGCGTGGTGGCACACGCCTGTAATCCCAGCACCTGGGAGGCTGAGGCAGGAAGATCGCTGTGAGTTCAAGACCAGCCTGGGCTACATAGGTCAGTTTCAACCACATAGTGAGACCCTGTCTCAAAAAAAAAGCTGGAAAAACAAAAACAATGAACTGAACTGGAGGTTTAATCATCTTATGCAAGTCCTGATTGTCCCAGTTTCCCAAAATAAGGAAGGGGGGTTCAAAGTGATTGGAAGAGCTGAGCCTAGTGGTACACACCCATAATCCTAGCTACTTGGGAAACAAAGGAAGAAGGACTGCCCCAAATGGGGGCAATTCAGGGAGCCTATCTCCGAAATACAAAAGCTAGAGAAGTAGCTCGGTGGTAGAGTACTTGCCTAGCATGTATGAGGCCCTAGTTTCAATCATCAGGGCTACAAGAAGAAAAATGATTGGAAGAGTAGGAAAAGAAATAGACAGCTTCTCATATTTATCCCATCTTATGCCTGAACCCTGGACAGCATGGACAATCCACACAGCAGCTCTTTGTTATTAAAGGAAGGACTTTTTCCAGCAACATGTGCCCCAGCCCCCGACCTGGAATGTGGAGCTATATAACGGGCCAGTTCTATGGTTCTTCAGGACACTCTGCCCATTACTCACAGGGTTCTCCTTGCAGTCTTCACTCAGCATCTCTGGGGCAATCCAGCCTTCAGTGCCAGGTACCCCAGAACGGCGGCTAAAACTGTGCCTGCCCACTGCTAACTTCTTGCACAGGCCAAAGTCAGAAATCATGGCCTTGATCCTGCCGTGTGCATTGGGCATGGAGAGGAGAATATTGTGGGGCTTCAGGTCTCTGTGAACTAAGAGAGAAGTCCAGTTTCATATAAGGCAGTGGTGGTGAACTTACAGCATGCGTGCTATAGCGGGCAAAAAGATCCCTCTCTCGTCAGCATGTGAGCCACGTCATCCCAGCAGCCAAGCAATGGAAAACAGTTGGTTTTGCCGAACTAAAACCTCCATATCCAGGTCTAACTGCAGTGTTGGTACTTTGCGATAAATAAGTGGGTTTTGGGTTGCAGTTTGGCCACTTGGTCTCTAAAAGGTTCGCCATCGCTGGTACAATGCTTACCACAGCAACCCTAGCCTCCTACAAGGTGGAAAGGGTCCTTGTCAGACCCCTGATGTACTTGCTGTCATCTCCAAAGCTCTGATTTTCAGCTATGTAAGATTCGGTCTTAAACTCTTATACAACTTGTCAAGAAACCATTGAGCTCCCTTCCTGTCCTGTACCAAAGCACTTAAACAGACACAAGAACCAGGAGGCTGCAGCCACTCCCGCCAAGGCCTCTCACCGATGTTGAGGGAATGGAGATGTGCCAGGCCTGAGGTGGTCTGCTGCAGCAAGGTGATGGGCTCCAGGCCGAGGTGGGCAAAGTCCTTCTGCTCCACATACTGCAAGAGACACAATGACCAGGTCAGGGTACACGGCCCTCACATTTCTTGGCCCCTGAGCTCCTTTCCTCTGATCCCACTTTACTGACAACGTTCTGTCACAATCTGTAATTTCCAACAGACTTCCTGGAAGAATGAGCTGACTTAAACAAATAAACAAAGCTCCAAATTACTAATTTACAGTGAGAAAGAGAGAAGGCAAGACACTCAAATCGATGGCTTGAGCCTGGAAACTGAAGAGTTTGCTGGATGAAAAAATGAGAATCAAGACCTGTCATGTAAAGGTACAAGATCCCAATAATGAATGAAACTATACTGTATACCTAAAAGGAACCAATAAACTCAATGAGGGAAAAAAACAAAAGAGGCCAGGCGTGGTAGTGCTGTAATCCCAGCACTTGGGAGGCTGAGGCAGGAGGATCGCTGTGAGTTCGAGACCAGCCCGGGCTACATAGTGAGTTCCAGGTCAGTCTCAACTACATAAGACCCTTGGTAAAAAAAAAAAAAAAAAAAGAAAAAAAGAAAGAAAAAGCTCCCTGGAGGCAAAGGGAGCAGAGATGTGCCAACTGCAACCCAAGGCTGCCAGGCCTACCGAGTGGGCTACTCCATACGCTGCACTTGGTATTTGTACTTTAACAGATATACGCATTTGTCAATGTACAGCAAACTGCACATTTAGAACGAGTACACTCCACTACACTAAATTTCAACAAAATAATGGTAATAAATCTGCAGCCCCTAAATCAACACCCCAGTTAGTAGAGGAAGGGAGGCTGCAGTGGTTGTGGGAAAACTGTGGGCATCCCAAGGCCAGCCAGGCCCACCTCCTGCAGGGTGGCCGCACACAGCTCAATGGCAATGTACTGGAACTGCCGGTCCCTCTCGGTGCAGAAATAACGGATCACATTGGGGTGCTCGTCCGATTCTCGCAGCAGCTGGACCTCACGGTCTGCAAAGCTAAAACACTCAGGAAGGATCCTCTTCACGGCCACGTCACGGCTGTCAAACATGCCCCTGCAGGACAAGGGGTGGCAGTTGTATGTGGTGTGTGCAAGTTGGGCTATGGAGACAACGTGGGACCATGGATCCGCAGTACCTCTCCTGCGACACAGGGGCCACCTCGTAGCCTCACAGCCCAGGGGCCCTGACCTGCACATCTGCAGCAGCCCACGGTCATCCCTTCTTTCTCAGCGCGTGAGCTCCCAGGAATCAGGACTCACTTGTCTCGGTCACTGCTTTGGCGCTCCTGTGCCATTGGAGCCTGGCACTGGTCTGAAACCCAACAAACCCTGACATACCTGGTGGGAGGGGATAGGACCGGCTGTTCCACTCACCGGTACACAATGGTGCCCTCAGCTCCATGGCCCAGCACATCTTTTGGGTAGAATGAAATTTTCCCAACCATCACCATGCTGGTTTCCTCATCTGGGACAAAACACAAGACGAAGGGCCAAGGATTTAGCTCAGTGACGCCACTACCTGCCTCACAAATGCAAGGTCCTGAGTTTGGTCCCTACTACCAAAAAACAAAACAAACAAACAAACAAAAACCCAAGACAGAAGAGATCATTTTAAACAGCTATCACCTGAAGAGCTTGAACTTCAGGGTCAGGTCAGGCATGGTGACGCATGCCTATGATCCCAGAACTCAGGAGGCTGAGGCAGGAGGATCACCATGAGTTTGAGGCCAGCTTGGACTAGATAGTGAGACCCTCCAGGACTAAAATGGCTATCAGCTTCCTGACTTCCAGTTAAGAGTTGGGAAGCTAGGATTTGAGAGGTTCCATGTCCTAGGCATCAGGTACACGACAGTGGGATGGGCTCACTGCATTTATGTCCAAGACCACTGCCTCCTTCCCTGTGTTTTGTCCCTGTCCCTGAATTCTGTTTCTGATTTTACGTTATGGTACATGAGTGCATAGCTTCAAACCTTCCAAAGATAGGGTCTCCATACAGTCACTTAGCACTATTTAATGATTAACAAAAAGCAAGAGAATTCACCTTGAAGTTCTGCACCTGAGACATTCTAGTGGAGACAGTGGGCATGTGAAATAGAGAGACATTTTGGGCTGTGAAGTCCTTACGCAGTCTGTGTCGGTCCCCTAGAATATGAGCCCTGACCTCCAGCCTCGGCCAACTGGTCAAGTAGGTCACAGCTGCACTTCTCTACTTGGCCACTAGCTGGCCCTGGCAGTTTTGCAAGCCTGATAGGTAGCTCTCCCTTTGGTCGGCAATGGTTCCCAGCACTGTGGGGAAGGATGGAATGAGCGCCAACAAGACCCTGCAAAGTCAGGGCTCTGAGGCGCAGGCCACAGCATGGGGTAGAAGTTCATCCCACAGAGACCCACAGGGTGGGAGGAAGTCAGGGAGGGCAATGAGTCCATGGGAACAGCCCTGTAAAATCTTGTGAAAACGTCACGGAAGACGTGGTGCTCTATGATTGTCATGCAGTGGTCAGAGGAGAGAGAAAACAGCACGGAAACGGCAAGAGGCTTTACCCTCATCATCCTGCTCCAGGGAGGCGCTGGTACCAGCCTTGGAAGCAGAGCTGTTGGAATGGAGTGAGTGGTTGGAAGCTCTGGGGGATGGGCTGGGGCTGCTGGTCCCTGAGCTCTCGGAGTAAGGGCTGGATGTGTCCAAGAGCTCGGTGTCCTGCGTCAACTCTCCAGGCTGGTGGAAGGGCAGCTGCTGCTGCTGCAGGAGCTGCATTTTCTCCAGCTCCTTCTGGAACTTCTGGTGCTGGAGCCGCTGCTGCTGGTGCATGCTCTGCAAAGAGACACCTCCATCCAGACTCGTGTGGTTTTCCCTCTGGGAAACAGCCACAGGAAAGAGAGGCTTCCCACGGCAGAGGCGGCAGATGCCTTCAGACATCACAAGACCAGGGAGGGCAAGTCAGCTGGCTGCCTGGAGGTCTTTCTGCCCATCAGGCCCTTCCCAGTACAGCCCAGGTCCAAGCCTGGATGGGCCTGGTAGGAGATAAATGACAGGAGTGCCAGAGAATTCTGGCCCAGGTAGAAGGCCGGGCCAGATGAAGGGGGCTATAGATAATCTAGAATTCTGTAACTTTTATGGACATCTGAGAGGTGGTATAAAAGTGAAACCAAATGGAAAGAACGGTCAGTCACCAGGTGGGTGGGAGTATGCTGGGTAGGAGTAGCCAGAGCATTTGATGGAGTGAGCACACAGGTGCCCGGCAGTCCAGAGGGTGGAGGGCTGTGGTCATCCACCCACAGTCACAGGGCCAGGAGGAGTTGGTGAGAGCTAAACCACAAGAGGCTTGGGTGAGATCCTGGCCCCTGAATCCATCACCTGCCTCCCTGACCCATACTCCTCACACATACTCTGAAAGATCTGCTGTCACCATTAGAAGTGGCACCAGTTTGTGACTATTCCACCCAGGCCTGGGAGGCTGACTAAACAGACTGGGGCATGGCCAACAAGCCACTGGGGAGTCTTTTAGCTTGTGTGCTCTCTGTTAAATCCTGGAAACACCGTACACTAGGAAGGCACTTAGCTTCTCAGAACCTGCGTTCTTGTATTGTGGACAGCAGATAAACTATAATGGCCTCACAGTTAAAACACAGAATGCTTAGGTGAGCATACATTGCCCGCAGAAAGCACAGCTCATAAAGGTTTTGTCATCTCAGTCCCACAGGGACCGCTGTGTCTGAGTGCTGCTGTCCTGAGGACGTAACACCAAGGTGCTTGAGCAACTTGCTAAAGGGACCAATGTGTCCTCTCACTCACCGCCTACTTGACCACATAATGCTTGCTTGCTTATTTCTGACTAGAAAGTCAAAGGGATCACCCGGCTGCCTTCTTTACGCCAGCTAATCTAACAGGCATTTTCATCTATTATCCTTACTATTAAAAAAAAAAAAGAAGTAACTATTCAAACTGATCTGTGGGTAGGTTTATACATTACCGTTTCCAGCCTGCTCATTGAAAAATACTAAATTTAGGTTTAAAACTGCCCTTTTCTGAGAAGCTGGTATCTCTTCAACTATAATGTTTTTAAAGATAAGCGAATATTGACTTCTAATGTGAGAAAAATGTGTTGGCTGTGTTGTCCAGATCTCACTGATAGCAGGAGACCGGCAGAGGAGCCCAGGAAGAAGCAGAAAGGTTGAGGGGTGGGGCTGAGCTTTACCAGCGGGTAGGAGATGACGAAGGCCATCCAGCCAACCAGTAGGAAGGTGCTCAGGATGATGGTGGCCATGTCCTTGAGCATGGAGTCCACAGGGGCCTCAGGCTTGGTGGGGGCACGAGCCAACTTCTCTTCCACATCCTGAGACACCACAGTGGGTGCGTTTTCTGAGGTCTGGTCAACCAGGTTGATAACCTAGTTTGGGAGAAAGTGGCTACATTACTGCAGAGCTTCTAGCCAGATACATGTGAAGTGAATGATCAGGAAAAGTTACTCCCATTTATAACGTCATGATACATTGTAATAGATTTTTTTTTAGTGCATCAAAATTACTTAGCCAAGTAATTATTGCCTCTCCCAGCAATCACTCTGAGAGGCCACACGTTTTATAGTGGTTACTAGTGCTCAAAAACCAACTTCAGAGCAGTATTTTTGGAAATGGCCTCAGACTTTGACATTCTTCAGAAAATCCCCAACGAGGGCTGGGGATTTAGCTCAGCGGTTCGGCGGCCTGCCTCACAAATGCAAGGACCCGAGTTCAATCCCTGGTACCAAAAAAAAAGAAAAAAGAAAAAAAAAAGAAAATCCTCAACTAAGGCAGAAAAAATTTCCTCCTTTGATGGTAGACTTAGTGTTTGGGGACACTTTGAAATCATCTGTAACAAAGTCTGGTGAAAAGCTGGTAGTTGTTTTGATAATACCTTTTCACACTGAAAAAGAAAGCCCACGTGCCTGTAAGTAAGGAAGTCCCTGTCTCAGCCTGTATACTTTCAGTGCAACTCCAAAACTAAAATAAACTATTCAAGAATTCTATTTTATCCAGAGTTTTCAAAAAGTATCAGAAAGCATTTAGCCTTTGTTACAGAAAATTTTATTTAGAAGCCCCAAATTAATCAAATAAAAAGGGAGCCCCCCGCCCCAGTCTCTGGAACTTCACAGAATATATTTAGAGAGATTTATTGAGAAAGATAGGCTCTCACTATACTGTAGTTCAGGCTGGCCTCAAACTCACTATGTAGCCCGGGATAGGATTATAGGCATGTGCCACCATGCCTGGTTTCTGTAACTTTTTAGAAAAATGTTATTGATCTCTTCTCAAAAACCTAGTGTTCCAGGTACGATGTGTTTGCACAAAGAAATTAACACAGCCTCTTGGCAGTGTGCAGTGATTTACCACATGCTGTGGCATTTCACCACACCAGATGCCTGCCTCTGAAGCCATTCTCTCCCCTTCCCGCTACTCTGAGCCCTTCCAGGCACGTCTCTCTCGGTTCCTGCCTCCCTCAGTATCTCTCACAGGTTTGGGAGGTGTGGCCTGCCTGGGGCACAGCAAGCTGAGGAGTGTTTGCTGAGTATATGACAGGGACAATACTCCTTTAGATATACCTGCTCAAAGGTGTTTGTTTAAAAAGTCAGTCTCGGGGCCAGGGATTTGGCTCAGTGGTTCCACCATCTGCCTTGCAAGTGTAAGGGCTTGAGTTTGATCTCTGGCCCCTCCAATAAATAAATAAATAAAACCTTCAAGTTATATCCAAGAATATCTTGATGGGTTTTTTAAAAGATCAGATGGTTAAATATCCAAATCTGGACTATAAGCTGGGTATGGTGGTTCATGTCTATAATCCTAGCAATCTGGGAGGCTGAGGCAGGAAGACCGCAATTCAAACCCAGCCTGGGCAATTCAGCAAATTAGCGAGTCCTTGTCTCAGAAAATTAAGAGCCAGACATAGTTTGTGCACTCCTGTAATCCCAACACTTGTGAGGCTGAGGCAGGAGGATCACCACGAGTTTGAGGCCAGCCTGGGCTACATAGAGAGACCCTGTCTCCCCCACCCAAAAACATTTTTTTTAAAGGGCTGGGGACGTAGTTCAGATTGAAAGGCCCTGGATTCAATCTCTTAAAGAAAAAGAAAGAAAGAAGGAAAGAAAAGAAAAAATAATCTGCACTGCTGTGCCTAGCTAGCTGTGTATGTTAGATTAAGGGTACTTTGGCCAGGGAGTTAGCTCAGTAGCAGTGCACCTGTCTTGCAAGCACAAGGTCCTGAGTTCAAGTCCAGATTAAGGGTACTACTTGTCTTATTTTATTCTTTATAATTTTATTTTCTAAGTGTTCAATAATGCATATGCATCACTTAAATAAGATTTTAGGGCAATGCTATTCAAGATTGCTATTTTACGAATCAATGCATTTCTCCAGCCAGGGTCACTCCAGAGGTGACAGACATTAGACACTGTGCCCCGGACTCTGGAAAGGCCACGGTTTCTCTTTGCCTCCAGATAAAACCTGTCTCTCGAGTGAGAGTGTGTTGTTCCTGTGGTCCCCACATCAGCAGCTGTCCTTTCCTCCACCCTAGCCCCAGCCCCTATGCTGGGGCTGCAGGAACTGCCAGGTCAGATGGCTCACCAAGGCCTCTGGATACCCTCTAGCCCCTCTGCTGGGCATGTCAGGTCCTCTGCCACAGAGTGCCTTCTCTGTGCCCCAGAGCTGGCTTGTGCGGACCTGGACAATTACCTCTCTGACCCTTTGGTCTCTGACTGGGAGAAGGTAACGGGAAGCACCAGCAGAGGAGACCAAGGAAGGAGAGAGTGGCTGAGTTCGGTGCGGCTGCTGGATTCATCTACCCAAATGCTCAGAGTCTGGCCTTGAGCACTTTCCACTCTCTCCCCTCTGCCTTCAGGCCAAGAGATGCTGTGAGAACCCTGGTACTATCTACATCCGTGTGAAAAATCTCCCTACTAAATTCCCCTCTGATTTAGGTGAGCCATCTGTCTCAACAGAAACCCTGATGGTACATCCTGTCTCCTATAGCCTACACGAGAATCTCATGGCATGGCCTCCCCGCTAAACAAAGGCTCCATTCTCTGGGAGCCCCAAGGCCCTGACAGACCAAGCCTTTGCCATATCAAGCAGTCAAAGAAGGCCACTTTGTTGTTTTTTTAAGACACAGTCTCACTATGCAGCCCATGCAGGCCTCCAACTTGCAGCAATCCTCCTGCCTCAGCCTCTTCAGGGCTGGGATTACAGGCTGCACCACCACATCTGGTTAGAAGGTCACTCTCCACAGGCTGCTCTTAGCTTCTTACACTTAGGTGTCCTCTCTTCTTCATTGGACTTTACTCTCCCGTCCAACCTGTCACCATGGTTCCCCTGTGCCCATGTGAGCTCATGTGTGCCCACTATTCCTTCCTCACCGCCCACCACTACACATCCCAGCGTCATCCACACCCCATCTCACCATGGCCTCGCCTTTGGCTCCCAGCTCACCAAGCCAAAACCCACCTATTCCTCCAGGTCTAGCTTGTCCTGCTGCCTTTCCTGCACTCTCTATCTGCCCGCGGTCACTTATCTCGGCTGCTACGCATTTTGGTGTAGTTCTCTACTGCGAGGGCAAAGTCTACTACTATAACCCCAACACCCCTGAATGAGCCAGCAGCCGGTGAGTTCGCGTCCTAACTCACTTCCTCAAAGCTCTTTTTCTCCGAGTCAGCAGGAATCACATTTCCCCGATGTTTGGGCAGATTGTTGGGAAATCTCTCCAGCATCTTGGTAGATGCAGACAGTGGGGTTTCATGGTGTCCTATAAGAGGAAACAAATCTTTAGTGAGAACGGTTTCCTGAGCAGTGATAACGCTCAACACTAAACTACTCGCTAGCTAGTGGGGGTCCACAGGCAAAATCTCACAGCGATGAAGTTAGAGGAAACGAGAGATGGGTACTAGAAGATGCCATCAAAGCAAAAATCAGATTACTCAGTGGCAGAAGACTCACAGTGCGGACAGAGAAATGTTCTTATCACAAGGGGGATCAGGATATTTGGGGTGCATTCAAAGCAAGGCCCATGTGGGTGCCTGTGTTCCACTCATCGGTGAGGCATTCTGTCCGTCCAAGTCCAATGTTGTCCTTTCAGTGCTTTTCCCAGACGTACCACTGCCAAGGCTCCCGGACTCCCTTAGCGTCTCAGTTACTCAGGTGCACTCTAGTCCTCCTTTTATCTACATGTAAGCTTCTACCTGATGAAGTGGTGAATTACTCATAAGAAACAAGAGAAGTATCTGCTAGATGAACAGGGGGGAAGGGGAGAAGCCTGTGGCTGGCTCTTAAGTCTTTACTCACTGCTCTCTACATAACTACTTTATGAGTATCTGGTATTTGTTACACACAGATGGAGCATTCATCGGGCGCAAATTACCATAAGAAACAGAAAGGTGATTAAAATCAGGATCTGGGATTTCACATGTGTTGATAATCTGTTTAGCTCTAAAATTAAGTCACTCCAACCAGACATCATGGCCTACAATCCCAGCACTCAGAGGCTGAGGCAAGAGGATTGTGAGTTTGAGGCCAGCCTGGGCTATACAATGAATTCAAGGCCAGCCTGAACTCCACAGTGAGAGCCTTTCTAGAAACAAACAAATTTAAAAAAAAATCAAGTGACTCCAAATGCAGCCCAAAGAGTCAGGTCACCGTTCCACCCAAGACTGTCGGCAGCTGGGCAGGCTTTCCTTTCTGTTCTCTCCCTGGGATCAGACCTCACTCCAATTCAGGTCTTGCTCTCCTTAGGATCCTCCCCTTGTTCTCCCAAACCTATCAGACTGCATGGTGCTGTGCAAAGATAAAAACCAACAGTAACTAGTCCAAGGTAATTTCTTAGTCTGGAAAGCCCTTTCATCCCCCATCTTTAGGTCGATTCTCTACCTACAGCAGAACATCATCATCCTTGGAGGGAATCCCACTTTTTGTTTTAAACTTCCTCAAGTTTTCCCTTGCCCACCAAGGAGCCCCAAGATACACTGTGCGCAGGAGCAGGGTTCCCGTGTGGTGGCCACTTCAGACGCCTGACTGAGACTTGCTGGTGGATCAGAAGGTAAAACATGAACAACCTCAGGAGACAAGAGACCCACCCTAGGAGAAGTGAGGTGGTCCTTCTACATGCCACCCTGTGCTGCGTTTCCCTCCTGCCCTTCTCCCAAATGCCAACTCTTAGTAGGCCCTGTGTCCTGCTTGTCTGCAGGGCACATACCAAGAAAGAGACTGTTATGCTGGTCACAACCTAAACCTCCCTGCCCTCCTGTAGTTCTGTATAAACAGTCTTTTCCTGCAGCTGGTCTTCAGTAGTATTTCACTCCTCACCTGACCAACCACCCTATAAATTGAATCATGAAGTCCCTGATGTTTTTGTACAAACAGTACCTGGTCTTTGTGATTTACTTATCAGCATCAATGGAGTCAGACTCCAGAGCAAAAATCACAGAGCCAGGTCTTGCCCTGGACCTCCTGCATCAGGTCTTCCAGGGGCAGTGAGTGTTTTCTTGACAAAGCTCTGGGTGATGCTGAGAGCATCCCAAGTAAGGGTCACTGGTTGTGGGCAACTATAGACATACCCCTCGGGCTCACGGGACCCAATTTATCCTACAGATGAATGTGAATGTGGGATATCTTTAATATATTCCATCAAAAAAATCAAAGAGCTGGAAATGTATCTCAGCGGTACAGCACCTGCCTGGTAGATGTAAGGCTCTGAGTTCAATTCCCAGCATCCCCACCCCCAAAATCAAAGAACACATTTGGACATAAATAGGCATGTGGGCATAACCTGCAGTTCTAGTCTATAAGAAGATTGTCAAGTATTCAAAAATGACTCACTATGGAGTTCCTCAAAGCACCTCACAATCGTGGGATCCTTACTTAGCTACTTCATACTTCGTTAGGTTTCCCAATTCTTTTATTTGGACAACTTGTCTGTTTTTTTAAAGAGATCTCAGTTTACAAATTATCTGTGGAGATTTCTCCCCTGTATCTTTTTATTCTCTTCCACATGTCCTTAGTGTCACACCTCATGGGCGTGTAGTTTATATATCCCTTAACTGGCACATAAAACTGAGTGACCTTGTAAATTTAATGGCCTCTGCTCAATTAGCTATGTTTTCCTCACCATAGGCCCATTGGTGCATGCTTCCTAAACTACCCCTGTAAAAAAAACAAAAACAAAAACAAACAAAGAAAATTCTTTTGTCATCTCCTTTACTTATTATTTAGTAAAAATAATAACCATGATAAAAATGGCTACAGGGAATCATCAGAACAAAGAACAGGCTCTGGACAACTACAAGAGGATTGATCAGAACCCAAGCATACCAGGTTTCCCTCTGCGGCTCCTGAGTACACACATCCCCACCCAGACCCACTGCCTGGCAGGTCCTGCTGCTTCCTGGGCCCTCACAGTCCAGCTCACTGCATCCCCAGCTGTGACATCTTTCTGCAGGCACCCAGAGGAAGAGAATGAGAAGAAGCCTTATTAGCCTCAGAGCCCTCTGGCGACCCTGCCAACCTCCCCTGCCCCTACCCCTAGGACTCATCTCCACCTCTCCCCAACTCTTGGTGGGGAGGTAGTAGAATCAGTGTGTGTGTGTGTGTGTGTGTGTGTGTACACACTCATGTGCCCTTTGGGACAGGGCAGATAAAGGGCACATTAGATTCAAGAAAACTCCCTGCTGCTCTAATTGGGACACTGGCCAGGGACACAGTACCTCTCACCTCTGCCTTCATTTGTCACGCTTACTGCCTTTGGGTCGTCTCAACCTCTCAGTGCTCTGACACAGCTGAAAGAATGTCCAATTCAACCTCAGGGCCAACAATGACGGTAGCAACAATGGGAAGAGAAAGGGAAAGGGGAGGAAGGGTGAGCTCAAGGGTGGAGCATGTGCTTAACACGAAAAAAGGCAAAAGGAAGGAGGGGCGGGGAGGGAAAGGGGGAGGAGGAGAGCCCTCCTCTCTCACACCATATACACCGAGGACCACGCTGCCTGAACCCAGAGTAGCCCCTGACTCCATCACTCAACCCTCTCCCTTCCTTAGCCTCTCACCCACGTGAACCCTAAGCCAATCTTCCACAAGAACTGCCTCAGTTTTCCTAGTTATAAAATCAAAGTAACAAGGGTATCTACCTCACACAGTCACTCTGAAGAATGGGCAGACATTCTCAAGTCAGAAAATTACACTTTGTCACTGTGTAACCGAGAACATTAAACAATTTTTGAGAACTGACTCACAACCCAGCTACCCTGTTTTTCTGTTTGTTTGTTTTTGTTTTTGGGGGCAGGGGGATAGAAATGTTCCAAGATCTAAACAACCACCTCGAAGTGAACGGAGCACTACACTTGGAATCAACAGCAGCAGTAAACCAGCAAGGCCTCTTTCGCCCACCAGGAGGCAGCAAGCCACCACAAGAGATCAGCGCTTACCTATCAGGAGCCAGTAATTCCTCAAGTAATTGAATTTGCTCTTCCCTTTGAGTCCAGGGTCAAACTTGAGGTCTGTGCTGGGTGTGATCACACACTCTCCTTTGTCCCCAATGGTGACACCATCCGTCTGGGGGCCTTCCAGCAAAGGAAGAGTGCTGCCTCGGGGCTGTGGAGACAGGGCGAGGTGAGCCTGGAGCCCTCAGATTCCCCAGGTCTTGCAGCGCCCCCCCAGCCACCACCCTGAGCCCAGAAGGAGCCCCATGGCTTCAGCTGAGTGGATTTTAGTGTGGGGCCAGGCCATGCCAGTCAGAGCAAGATACCAAGGCTCCAGGTCTGGGAAAACTCTGCCCTTAGGACCTGACAATGCTCCACTGACATCTTTTCAGGTTCTTACATGTGGATACTAGGAACTTGGGAGGGACTCCGAGAAAAACAGCCCTTAGGAGAAGCAGATCTAAGTGAAGGAGAATAGGTGCATACCTCTCAGACACAAAGGAGGCAATCAGCAGGGTGAGACAAACTCCAGCTAGGGGCCCACAGCAGGAGCTGACAGAGGCAGACATGGCCTGCTGCTGCTGCTGCAGAAGGGCGGCCAGGCAGCTCCCTGAGGAGACCTGAGATAACCTCAGAGCCCAATCATACTGGAGGGCCAGGATGAGTGGCCAGGGTCAGAAGGCTCAGACACAGAGACAGTGGTGCTCAAGAAAGGCTGGCCAGGACCAGGTGGGGGTTGGGAAGGCACAAAGCCTGGAAGGGAATCTGAAGAGGGAAAGGAAGAAGGAAGGGCATTCCAAGTGTGAAACCAGTCCCAACTGAGGCTCAGAAGAAAGCACAACAGGGAACCTTTGGGAATCAGGAAGATGTGCTTGGCTAGGCTGTGGGGCTGTCACACACAAACTGACAGCGTTGTGGGAGGACACCGTGTAGGCTGTCTTGACGAGGCCTGGACACCACTTGGGAAGTTTAGACTGAACACAAAAGTAACAGAGCCAACTGGGGCTTCCTGGGTTTAGAATGTGGTTTCTAAAGAATCCAGCATGTGCAGAGGCCATTCCTGAGACTTGCAGCTCTGTTTCGAATTCTTAACCAGAGGGATATTCACAGATAGCTCTGGGTCCTTTGTTTTTGTTTTTCTGAGGTCTCACCAAGCAGTTCAGGCTGGCCTCGACCTCGCAGCAGTCCTGCCTCAGCCTCCCGAGTGCTATGATTCCAGGCCTGTGCCACCACACCCAGCTCAGGTCACTCTTCACTAAAATAGAGACAGCTGTGGCCCCACAGTGAACTCACTCACCACAACGACGACCCCCTCGTGCACCATGGAGGGGGAGGCGTAGAGGCTGGTGGAGTACTTCCCGACATACAGAGTAGGCCTGGAGAGAGGAGACACCCATGTTCCTGTCATTTCATGTCCAGATCCCATAAAGGGGGCCTTTGGGAGAATAAAATCAGAGCCCCAGATACCAGCCCCAGCAGCCGCCTTATTAGCCCAGGCACGGAGCAAAATAGTAGGGTGTGAGACAGGGCACTGCTGGGAAACAGGACGCCAGGACTGTGGGCCTCAGCTCCACTCACCACTTAGGGAAATTTGGACCAACCACCTAAGGGCAAGCCTCAGTTTTCTTGTCTGCAGAATGCCAGGGCCAGACTGGCCTATGGAAAGGATTATATCCAATGACTAGCCAGAAGACGAACGCTTAACACCCACTGCCAAAGCCTCATAATGGCCGTGACCAGCACATTGAACACCTACACCCAGATCACTATCACTGTGCCTTGTGCTTTCAAGGACTAGAGGCTCTGTAAAGGCCCCAAGGAACATTCAATCACAAAAGGGATGCAAAGGAAATTATAAACCCGGAAATTCCCATCCCACAGCCTGTGGTCTGTCCCTGCCTAAGACCTCTCTCGGGGTATGGGTGCGGGTCATGCTATGCTGCCAGCAGGAGAACAGGGGGAGCTGCACCTCCAGACCCTCCGGTTACTATTGTCAAAAGCCCTTATCAGGTAGGTCTTCCACTAAGCTACCTAAACCACTCTCAACAAACACCTTCCAACTAAGTGCTGGCTTACGATTCAGCAACATTTTCATATACATTATCTTACTTGACCTTCCCTATAAAGTAGGAAACTGAGGCTTGACATAGCTAAGTGTCTTAGTGACAGACTGTTAGTAGGTAGGGACTGAGAATACAAGCCTGTTGAGTGTTGGATATGAACATTCATAAAAATTTAGAAAACACATAAAGTGAAAAAGATAAATCTCTATAAGAGATACACCCAAATTATACTGTAGTTATACTAGCAGTCTCTTTCCTATCCCATAATTTTTATTTGATTCTCAAGAACTCTGAAGCATCAAAGGGCACCCCCAGTTCTTACGCTGTTATACTCCTGTCCTCAGAGTTGTCTGCCTGACCCCTGGCCTCCACCAGGGCAGGGCATGCTATGCTGCAGCAGAGGCAGAATGACAGTGTCCCCGCTACCCCTAGCTGCCCTCTTCCACCTCGAGTTTCCCAACTCACGTCAGCTTGCTCTTGGCCTCGGTCTCCTTGGGAAATGGGTACTTCCACTTGGTGATGCGGCCCACCTCCCCAGGCATGAAGGTCAGGTAGCGTAGGGTCTCCACAGCAACGTTGATGTGCATCACCTTCCTCAGACCCTCCCTCTGCCAGACATAGAAGGCCACTACCGGGGAGGCATAGTTTTGAATCCACAGGACGTCCCCAGACTCACTGTCCACAGTCACCACCAGCCCATCACCATTGGACACGAAGTGGGACATCTCTAAGCATCAAACAACAAAGCACGTCAATACTCGCCACATCCTGCAACCACATCCTCTACTCTTAGCAAGCTGTATTAACCTGCCTAGAGGGGACAAGATTTCCAGAATGTTCTCAGGATTATTTCACCAGTTCCACTGAACTTGTCCCGGGTCCCCAATATCAAGTCACTGAAGAGAAGGGAGGACAGGAGGAGAAGTAAAAAGATTATGATGTGTTATGTACACATACCAACTCCCCACAATGAATTGTAATCATTACGTACTGAAAACATGTACTAATAAAAGAAATGTTAATGACTCAAAAAAGTCACATCTTTGTTCATGTGACTCACAAAGGAGCAATCAGAAATCGATGAAAATATTCCAGGTACTGGACTAGACAAGGCAGAATTGGACTTTCAGATACCAATGTTAAGATGACAAAATTGGCTTTCTCAGTTATCATTTGAGCTGGGGAAATGCTGACTAAAGAAATAACTAGAAATAACTAAGGAGCCACCTTCAGAGTGGACTTCTCCGTCACATGCAGGTTTACACTAAATTTCTTCTGTGACACGCAGGACTCAGTACGGTATCCCCCTCAAATGCACCACGATTTTACTTCAGTTTCCCTTGAAATTCTCACCCAGGATTCTGGCACACTGACTATCGGAAGTATTTACTTTCGCCTGTGGAAAGTCCACATGATGAAGGTGTCTTCAAAGAAAATCCTGCTCTGCAATAACTGTTTCCCACAGATGGAAGGGGCCACGCCGGCCTTGTGAGCCCACTGTGAGCACTTACTGTAGTCCCCATCATCCTCAGGCAGTGAGGCTGCGTAGTCAAAGTAGGTGGCATTCCAGCGGAGCTCTCGGGTTTTGGTGTCATACATGGTGATAGTGTATTCTGAAGGATACAGACGAGCCCATTACCACAGAGGGGCCATGGCACCTGCTGAACTTCCCTAGTTACAACAAACAAGTTCTCCCTAAATTGCATGTTAAAAGTCCAGGCTATCCACATCAGATGTGAAAGGCCACCGAGAACTGCAAGCCCAGACGTGAGTGAACCTGGCCAGCAGCATGTGGAGCAGAGACGAGTCACCCTCTTCCTGCACCCGGAACTCACAGCTCACAGAATCACGGCAGTGTAACCCCTGTCTTAGCCACTAATTTGGGGAGTGGTTTATTATATGGCAGTAGAAGGGTGACATTAAAACTCAGTACCTAGAAGTGGGATGGTGCCGTAACAAAAACCTAAGAACTGTAGCACTCTGTGACCAGAAAGAAACTGGAAAGGTGACAAGGAGGCTGTGAGTGGAGGTCTGAAAGAGCAGGAGGAAATTACCATTAGAAGCTGAAACAGGGTGACACAGCTTGAGGTCATGTAGTGCTTCTATTAACCTGGAATACAGGAAAAGTAATGACTAGAGGATCCGGCTAAGGAGCTTCCCAGGCAGAAAGCAGAAAATGCCAAAGCCAATGAAGAAATCACTCAGCTTTCAAGCAGAATACAGAGGAACTACAGAGGGTCCAAGACTGATTCTCCAGCTAAGCAAGATTCTCCATATAGAACATTGCTTTAGAACAAAGATAAAATCCAGAGCACTAGGAGTGAAAAACTGGCCTCAGGTCAGGGTCAAGATCACCCAGGGTGAGACTGTATCAGACCCTTCTTTGAGACCTCAGAAAGACAATAGTATAGTACCTCCTAGAGCTCTCAATGGCAGGCATACCTTAGGTTTGCTACCCCTGTCCCAGAACCTGTGCTAGGTAAGAGGAACCATTAGAGGCCGGGGATTTAGCTCAGTGTTTCCGCCGCCTGCTTTGCAATCACAAGGTCCTGAGTTTGATCTCCGGTACCAAACAAAAAGAACCATAAGAGCGCTGGCCCACAGCACTTTCACATTCTAAAGCAGACTTGTGTGGGTAGAGCTTTTATCTAATGGCATAGACAGTAATTCAATATGTGGGAACCCACAAAAATTTTAAAGGTGTAGTATCAATATGGGCTACAATGACCAGAGATAGTAAAAATGGAAACAAAAAAGACTAAATCCTCTACTTTCAATAAACAGAGGACTGAGAAAACTACAAAATTGCCATTTCTTATGGTAAAGAGGATTTCTCAGAGGACAAAACCAAGAGCCACCAAAAACAATATATCAGGGGACAAATCCTGGAGGGTAAAACTGGGCCTTAATCAAAGAATATTCCTGTCCCCCGGGGAGGGGAACCTAAAAATATGTGCCTGGACAGCTTTCAGAATTACTAAGGTCCAGTATCTGATACGCGCTGCTCTTCCCTTCCCTGTTTGAACGGAACCGCTGACTCCAGCTCCAGTCTCACCACTGCACGTCTGATGGGGACAGGGGTGACTCATCTTTCATTCTCATGTCTCCCCTCCAGCCTGATACAGATCCCGAGGAGCTGGACTTGGAGACTATGTCATGGCCGGACCCGGGGAGTCTTGGGAGGAGGTGAATATGTCTGTATGCGAAACAGCTGAAAGCTACTACAGCCAGAGGTAAGGCTGTGGCACCGTCTAAAAAGATCACCAACAACAACTCCTCCCTAAGTCAGCCTTTCCATCTGGAGGCCGAGTTGGTTTCTCTACCCTTGGCTCTGGGCCAGCCTCAGAACTTCAGTGGAAGCAAGGATCTGGGACTTCTGAGCTCAAGACTTCTGAGGCATTCTAACATCCACGTCACTAACAGGGTACCCAGCTGTCATGTTAAGAAGTCCAGATCATCTGTGAGGGAAAAGGTCACGTGGAGGTGAACCAAGGTCCCAGATAGGAGTGTGCCCAGCATGCAGCATAGAGATGATCTGTCCTTGCTGAATTCCTTCCCCACAGAATCAAGAACAATTAAATGGCTGCGGTATTAAAGCACTATGTTAAGTGGTTTTTTATGCAGTAATAGATAAGGAAACAATAGTTTGTGCACCTATGCACACAGATCCCACCTAATGCCCCAATTCTACCTGAGAACCAAACAATTTTTATATCCAGTTGAAGCTGGAACCACTGTTAAGATTTTATTCAATGGAAAAGGTAAACAAAGCTGGGCATAGTGGCATGTGCCTGCAATCCCAGCACTCAAGAGGCCAAGGGAGGAGGTTCACCATGAACTTGAGGCCAGCATGGGCTACAGAGTGAGTTCAAGGCCAGCCTGCTAAACTGCAATGCAGTATGTTATCAGAGAGAGAGAGAGAGAGAGAGAACACACAAATCCTAAGCAATCACGAGAGAGGAGAGGGGGAGAGAGAGGAAGAGAGAGAACACACAGAGAGAGAGAGAGAGAGAGAGAGAGAGAGAGAGAGAGAGAGAGAGAGAGAGACACAAACCCTAAGCAATCACAACAGCTGATTTTTCCAGGGGAAGATGGAGAGTTCTGCAGTGTAAGACCTTCCTTCCAGGAGCAGGAGAGGACGGGGCCTTTCTAATCTGCAGAAAGGCAGTTGTCCACTGCATCTGAAGGAAAGTTCTGTCTCTGTACAGCTGTGGCTACCTGAATGGTTAGACCAAATTTAGGACTTAATTGTGACGAATTTAATCCTATGTTTTTTTAAAACTAGGTTTGGCTTTATGTACATATAAATCTTACTGACGTATGATCATCCTACATATTTATAGGAGCCTGGGTCTTTTGGTATAATTTTCTTCTTCTAAATATTTTCTGGCTTCCGCTTTTAGCTTTAATTTGTATTTTACAATTTTTATGGCAAACCCGACACACACAAATGGGTAAGGCATATTTCCACAGCAAAGAGGCACACCCATTCACTTGTTCAAACATCTGAGCACCTCCTGTATGTCAGGTAATATGTCCAGCGTAGAAAACAAAGACTTCCCTAGGGGAATGCATATGTGAGTAGAGGAGGCAGAAAACAGGCACATCAAATTTATAAATGCGTAGTGACAAGTGTTAAGAAGAAGGTGGCTGAAAAGAGAGGCAACAGAAAATGGCATGCTATTCATGCCTGTACAGGGACAGCGACGGGCACTGAGATGGCACCACAACAGGCTTACCAGCTGCTACAGGTGCCCCAGGGATGGAAAAGCTGAACCAAGCATCCCTGGGCAGGGAAGGGGCTTTGAAGCTAGGAAGGGACTCCACAGAGAAGGACATTTTTTTTAGCAGAGTTGTGAAAGAAGAGAGGATATTTTCTAGACAGGCAAAACCAGAGATACCTTGTATAGATGAACAACCTACAAGTCTGTAAAGGGAGCACAGCAGGTATCCCACCCCAGCTGGAAAAAGTTAGTGAGGGAAACAGGGAAGGATGAGAAAGAGAAAAGTAGCAGCTGCACCCAGGGGCTCTGTAGACTATGGGGCGGTTTGAACTGCATCCCTTGGGCAATCGGGGTCACAGACGGGTCTTAGAAAGGGAGTTTCATCCTGTTTGGAGAAGACAGTCCTGGCAACCTTCTGGAGAATAATGCCAGAAACAGAGGCGAATAATAGAGGAGCTTTGTTCCATCCTCTTTGCAGCCTTTCAAGCAGGCTGTACATGAGGTTCATTTCTTACCTGTTCGCCCAAGATACAGAAGGGAGGTTGATGGGCAGAGACTATCTGCAAAGGCTGATGACAAAGTCTGCTGCTTCTCACCCGTCAGGAGGTCAATGACGTACCAAATATCCTGCTTTTTACCTGAAAGGTCACAGAACATCGACATTTACACCTATCCTCATGGGAAAACATAGTGCTGCCAAAGTAGCATTTCTAGCTGTTCAAGACATTCTCTGCGCTGAGAGGCCTAAAATAGGTAGGCTGCTGAAGACATTCTATGATTCTCTGAAGTGACAAAATAAATTGTAATGTTGAAACAACATCTTGGGCCACTAGACCTTATATTGTATAATTTAATGATGATATAAAATTTCTCCAAACATAATAAATTATAGCTTACTAAAAGCCTCCTAACTTTCAAAGTTGATTTCATTGCTTTGATGAGTGGCCTTAAATATGAAAAATCTTGACTTATATAAAGGGCAGTCCTTTTTCCCACAGACTAGGAGCTATGTAAATACAAAAATATACCCAGGGGTTCATCTCCCTGGTAACCACAATTCTTATTTCCCAATGTCCTTATTAATTAGCCCACATGTGATGGGAACCTATAGTTACCACTGATAACTATAATTAGCTAGTACCTGTGCTGGGTCAGTGGAGTTGGTTGTACCCTGATGTTAATGAAGCCGAAGTTATCTCAGCCTCTATACCCAGTCTGTAAGTGATTCCCAAGCAATAGATCATAACCCTTGTTTTAGGCAGCTGATTAAAAGATATAGACAGGTAGACAAGAAAAGTTGAACCATACTATAAGAAAACCCACAGCATATGTGACCATGGAATATACACCAGGACATCTGGGCCAAGACTGAGACAGTAGCATGGGCCTCTGATCTGAAGGTCAACTCAGTCACTGTGATGTGTGCATTTCTGTTTCGTGAGGCATGGCCCCTGGTTATTTGTATCATGCTAACTTACTAGAAAAATATCCTATAACCAAGACTCCTAAAAGCAGAATAGTGTGATACTGAGGCAGATCATGGGGCACTAAAATTTGCTAAAGCTATACTTCATTCTAACAGATGTAGCATCCATGCCAGTTCCATGTGCGTGCAACTTGCCCATGGATCATCTCGGTGATAAGATCTTAATTTTTTTTAAATGAAGACAAAATGAAATTATCACCAAGCAGCTCTTACCATAAATCCCTTCCATCTGGCATGATACACATCTGCTTACTTCAAGAACCATTACAGTTGGGCAACTACCACACTCTTAAATATGTTTAAGTCAATTAAGAGGACACACAAGTTCAATCCCTGGTACCAAAAAAAGAAGGAGCACCACACAAAGACGACAGAAACACAACACCTCACATTCTAAAGAAGTAAGGAATTGCTGGCAAGAGCTGGAAATCCAGACAGCAGTGACAGAGAAGGTCAGAAGAGGGTCAGATGGGCCTGGGGAATGGCCCACAGGACAGAGAGAGCCTCGTGGATTACTTTCTTTGAATCCCTAGGCTGGGCGTTCCCTAGTTTGAAGGGCTGGAAGAAAGCAAGAGTCCTAGTGTCACTAACAAAAACTTAAAAACTGGCCCTCATCTGAAACCCAGAAACAAACATAAGCTCCTGAGGCATGAATAAGCAATAAGCACTTTCAGTTCCTCAAAACACAAGCTCCTATATAAACACAAGCTATTATTACTACAATGATTTCAAGATAATACAGTTCTCCTTTGTGTTACAAATTTATTTTTATTGACATTTTGGCAGAAAAGTGGTAAAAAAAAAAAAAAAAGCAGGTGAGTTGATGCTTTGAAAGCTGTGACCCCTGAGGCCCGAAGGCAGCTTATCCAGACAAGCTGTTAAGTGCTATTTCTACCCAATATGCTGATAGCAGAAAATACTAAGAAAGTCCTATAACTAATGGGCAAGATCTGGCTTCTCTTCCTTGGCTCTGACTATTATATTCACTTTAAATTTCATCCAGTTGCAGCTAGATGTGTTGCAATCTTGAAATCACAGAAATAGGCCAACACGGCAGCTAAAAGCTTGTTAAATGAGTAACTGTATTAATGGCATCAATTTTTATTCCAGGTAGGGGAACCTTTTCTTAATTAGTCACCTGATCCTGGCACAAATAGTACCATAACACAATCAAGGCAGAAAGGCCTCTCACACCAGGACGGGCAAGAGGGTGACAGGATCCCTCTCTCTTGACTTCTGAGACTCGATATCAGAGATCCAAGTTTTAGTATTGAAAGCAGGAACTCTTACCCATGTACAGTATTCCATCTGAGCTTCGGCATGGGGATGCCTGTACCAACTCTGGGATGGTAAAGGGAAGTTTCTTAAAAAAAAAGAGAGGAAAAAAATTAAGTTAACCAAGTCTTGTGCAATTATTACAATTTTACTGGGCAGTATATTTCTGTTACCCAGTTCCGCTAAAAGGAGAGGCACTTAGCAGACCTGAGTTTTCCTAACTGGAACCAAGGAAAAGGAGGTGCCCTGGGCTTCCCTGCACACTTCCAAGAGGCCTGAAACACTAATTCCTTCACTTGACACACGATGCAGGGGGCCCTCAGGTCTCCCCCCAGGGCACTTACCCTAAGTGACATAAACATTTTGTGAAAAGAGCTACACAAACTTAAGAGTTGCACATTTAAAAGTAGGAGAAAGGATTGTCCTGTCTTGCATATTTTTTAATTCCTGTCTTGGAATACTGATCCAGAGATACTGATTAGCTAGAATGACAAAGCTTACATTAATCCTAAGCAGAAGGACTCTTGGGACTCAGTCTAAGCTTTGAGGGAAGAAGACAACACAAGAGTCTAAGGTAGAAAAGAGAAGTTTTGGTGTTCTCTTCAGCAAATAATTTTTAAAAACCAGAAGAAAACTGAACCTTGGTTATGAAAAGGAAGCTATGGTAGGTGTCGGGAAAAGAAACTCAAAGGAATCCAAATGTTTCAACATATTTCATCATACAACTGATTCTTCTGAGTCTACAGCTGACATCTGACACTTTTGGTTAGTGCTTATTTTAGTGTACTTTATTTTTGGAACATTCTGGTGTTCTTGAAACTGCTCTACAGGTACCTGCTATTATAGAAACTCAGGATTCTATAACACTGTCACCTTTTTCTCTAAGAAAGACAAGATTTTTCTGTAGCATTAAAAATAAAAGTGCAAACACTAATCAATAATTTGGATTTTCCCATCATCCCAACATTCAAAGCCTTAGAAAACATTCAAGCCTTAGAAAAGGAAAAATGTGCCGAGTATGGGGGTGCATGCCCATAATCCCAGCACTTGGGAGGCTGGGGCAGGAGGAGTACAAATTCAAAGCCAGCCTGGACTACGCAGAGTTCAAGGCCAGTCTGGACTACACAGCAAGATCTTGCCTCAAAAAACAAAACAAAAAAAGTAAAAGTGGCACCAAGAGGCAGTGTAGCCTGTACTTTGCCAGATGTTTTAGAGAACCAGAAAGTCCCTGCCAGTTTCCCAGTCTGGAATGCTGTGCCCTAGGGTGAGCATGGCCACAGCTCTCCTGTGTCCAGGGCAGGCCGGGAAACGCAGTCTCGGGACTTGTTAAACTACAGGAAGGCACACCAGGGGGTAAGAGCGTCCTCTGGAGTCCCAAGCTTCAGCCTTGGGCACGTTCTGTGACCTCTCCCCACTCAGTTCCCACCTCTAATATGGGGATAACATCTCTAGGCTGCTGAGAGGCTCAAATGAGAGGACTTAAACAAATCAGTCAGTGTTTCTGGCAAACAAATGCTTAAGAAACAGAGAGCACAGTAATGTGGAGATAAACCAATGGCAAGAAATGCAGAAGGTGAAGTACACACAGCTCTATACAAGCTGCCCTTCACTCACCTGTTTCAGTCCCAGAGATGAAAAAAAAAAAAAAAAATGGGACAGGCGTGGTGGTGCAAGCCTTAATCCCAGCACTCTGGAAGATAGAGGCCAGAAGAGTGCCATGAGTTCAAAGTCAACCTGAGCTACATAGTGTTCAAGACTAGCCCGAAATGCAGAGTGAGACTTACCTCAAAAAAAAAAAAAAAAAAAATTAGGGCCAGGGATTTAGCTCGGTGGCGCCATGCCTGCCTCTCAAGAACAAGGTCCTGAGTTTGACCCCTGGTATCGAAAAAAGAAATTCTTTTAAATACCCATATTATTCCCCACAATCCAGTTACAGTCTAGACAGGAGTTCTCACCCTTGGCTGCACATTAGAATCTCATGAAGATTTTTTGAAAACTTTCTACTGAAGCATCATATACAAATGTAAAGCACTGGTACTCACACAGCTCAGACATCGTTATAAGTGGATACCAACAGCATCTAGATGGAGGACAGAACATCCAGCACTCTGGAACCCCCTTTTGTATCCTTTTCTAATCCCTGACTAACTCTCCAGGATAAATGTTATCCTAACTCCAAAGCAGCATACACTAGTTTTTCGTCTTTTTGAGCTTTATATAAATGAATCATTTGTTGTGTAGTCTTTTATGTCACGTTTTGCCCAATGTTATGCTTGTAGGATGGATATAAGTTTTTGCTGTGTGCAGTTGTGGGGTGTTAGTTCTCACTGCTGTGGAGTAATACATAATTATTTTTCCATTCTACTGTTGATGCTATTTGGATAGTTTCCACCATGTGCTAATTATAAATAGTACTGTAAGCCAGGCAAGGTGGTGCACTCCTGTGATCCCAGCACTTGAGAGGCTGAGGCAGAAAGATCTCTGTCAGTCTGAGGCTAGTCTAGGACAGACAGTGAGTTCAAAGCTAGCCTGAGCTACAGGTGGCCAAGGTGGTGCACACCTATAATCCCAGCACTCAGGAGGCTGAGGCAGGAGGATCTCTCTGAGTTCGAGACCAGCCTGGGTTACATAGTGAGTTCCAGGTCAGTCTCAGCTACAAAGCAAAAAACAAAAAACAAAAAACAAAAAAAAAAAAAAAAAAAAAAAAAAAAAAAGAAAGAAAAAGGAAACACCCCCAAAAAAGCTAGCCTGACCTAAATTAACCAAAAATTAAATGAATAAAGAAATACAAATAGCTGCAGTCATTTGGACACACACCCTCTGCAGGATACGTATGCATGGCTATTTGGTATACACTCTGGAAGGGCATTATCTCAGGGCACAGGGACTTTGGTACAAGCTCCCACACAGTCTGCCAAACCGGTTGTACCGCCATGTGCCTCCACCAGCAGCAGAGGCGCTCTCGCTGATCCACGTTCCACCAACACATCTCCTCTTTCTTTTGCTCCTATTAACCATTCTGGTGAACCCATCGATGCACACTGGGCCGCAGCATGGCACTGTGGTTTTAATTGGTGTTTCCCCACTAACTAATAAAGCTGAGTACCTTTTTTAAAAATTATTTTTATATATTTATTTTTTTAGCGGAGAACTTTTGTGTATATTCACCATTTCACTATATTCTACTTTTCTATTTGGTTGTCTTTTTCTAATGAGCTATAGTAATTCTTTTTTTTATTGGTGAGTAATTATATATTCGGAATATGAATCCTTCATTAGGTATGTGGACTACAGCTACTTTATTGCCTCCCTTCTTCAGGAAGAAAAATCTCTTAATTTTAAAATAATCTACATATCAATTTTTATATTTATGGTTACTATATTTTTTAACATCATATTCAATAAATATTTATCTACTCTAAGGTCAGGAAGATGTTCCAGTATTTTTTTTTCTTAAAGTGTTATTTTTTTTGCATTTTGCATTTAGATTTCTGATCTATTTGGAACTGGTTGTCATTTGGATAGGTGGTGGGGAAAGAAGTATAGACTGTTTTCTGTATGGTGTCCCCAGTGGTCTATTCCATTTATTGAAAACACTATCCTGCACCACCACACTATAGGGATTCCTCGGTCATCAGTCAAGGGGCCCTTTGGGTGGATCTGTTTCCTTTTGTTTTGTTTTGAGACAAGAGTCTCACTATGTAGCTCAGACTGGCCTTGAACTCTATGTAACTGAGGCTGGTCTTACACTCACCGGCCATCCTTCTGCCTCAGCATCCCAAGTGCTGGTATCACAGGTGAGCTTCTAAATTCTCTTATCTGGGGAGCTTTTAAAAAACCTTGATGACTTGGATCAATTAAATGAGGACTTTCTGGAACAAAGACCTAGGCTCAGTATTTTTCTAGAGTGCCTCTGGTCAAGAAATGTGAAAACCACTAATCTACATTCCCAAAGGAGCTTGGGATAGAACACGGCATGCTATCTGGCAGGGGTGGAGTGCAGACAGTGCTTCAAGCTATACCTCTTCCTCCCAAGTGGAAGGTCCCACGTTAGAGCAAACCGAGTTACAACAGGGAGACTCCTATCCTTCCAGTGTGCTGGCTGAACTCTGGCTATACATTTAAAAGCTCATTTAAGAAGCTCTAAAAAGATATTGATGCCCAGTATCCACTCCAGACCACGTGAATCAGAATCCCCAGAAGTCTGTTTAAATATCCCAGGTGAACTTGATGTGCCAACACAGTTAAGGACAGAGGTAAGAACCCCGAGAGTATGCGAAGAAGCTAGATATTCTCACCGTCAGGCCTTCATTATTCTTGCCCCCAAGTGTATACAGGCTTCCATCATTGGGATCTGGGAGAAAGGCAGGCCTAGAGATTAAATAGTAAGTATGAATGATAAAGGATACCCTAGGGCACAGAACAAACTTTCAAAGCCATGCAAAGCCATAACACAGGAGTAGTGGGGATTAGAGTGTGTGTATGTGTGTGTGTGTGGTGTGGTGTGGATGTAAAACAATTCCACCCACTGCTCCCTCACTGCCACCAATGCATAAAATACCCCTATGGTGTGCAGTAAAGCAACCTGCGGAGGAAGTCATAAGAAACCACTGCAGAGTAAATTATCATTTGGCCAAAGCAGTCTGGATGAAGGTAAAATAAGTGGAAAGGACCCAACAAGTCCACTCTTCAATTCCACATAGAACATCCAATAATTAATATTTAAATTAATAGTATGGCAATGATACATGAACGGGAGGAACAAACCTACCTTTAGTTTTCAACAAACACTTATTTTTTGATTGCAAGCAAAAGAAAAAACAGCTGTGAAAACTGATGTCAGAGAATCTGCCACGGGGACAAACACGAAGCAGACAGGAAGGGGTGGGTTATCTGTAAGGTTAATCTGCTGAAGACTCGACTGCAATTTGAGTTGCTCAGAAACCCCTTGCTAAATCTCTTTTCGCTATCACTCGAAGCTCCTACAGATGACAACCCAATTTTTCATCTAACACATGTACGCTCGGAGCAGGCCATGATCATCCTCCCTCTCCAGCAGAAGGAGAGATCCACACCATGAAGTTTAAATTTAAAACTCATCAGGGTGGAGGATTTAGCTCAGTGACACCGTGCCTGCCTGGTAAGCACAAGGTCCTGAGTTCAATCCCTAGTACCGTAAAAAAGTAAAATAAAATAAAACTCAGCTTAAATTCCACCCAAAAAGCCTTTTAAACAACACTGTCATCCTCCCTGAAGGAATGGACGACCCCCTCCCTGGCACAGGCTCCCAGTAGAGTACCTGTGAGACTTCATGTGTCTTACTCTTTTCTCTTTTCTTTCTTTTGGGGCTGGTGGGGATCAGGCCCAGGGTCCTGCACATTCTAGGCCAGCTCTCTACCACTGGGCTACATGCTCAGCTCTCACTCACTTTTGTTATGCACGTGTGTTTCCCAGCTACTCGTCTCCTAAATGCCAAATGACTGAATAAATGAAATAGTAAGTTAAAGAGAAGTGCTGAGCAAATCAGAAAACTTACTCTTCCACGTGTGTTGGGACCTGAAGGACCGGATCTGTGCAAAAGAACAAAGGCATCATCATACATGCTTGAAAACATCCCGGGCCCTAGTCCCAAGTTATACCAACAATGGAGGCTGACTGACGTGAGATACTGTACGTGAGCATACTCCAGGAAACACACACAAAGACACAAATACAAGCTCTTACGATTGTCACTGGGGTCAGCATGAGAACTGCTACCAAGAAACTGCCATATAACTTGGAGGGTGAACACAGAAGGAAGAATCAGTCATAAGCCACAGTGGACACGAAGCGACAGGATCACTATCGGGAACATCAAGGACTTCTAAAATCCAAATCATTACCTTGTCAGGTACCTGGAGGAGTACTAGATATTCCTGTTCAGAAATGTCAAACTGTGGCTTAAAGTACAGATTTCTCACTGGATGGTAAATGGAGATACAGCCCTTTGGAGCAGCCTATAATAGCAATCCTTGATTCCCTTTGATCCATTAACTGGAGTTTTATAAAACCTAGTTTTAAATAATATAAATGTAAAAATGATTTTATATATAGATGTTCAAATGTACCATTACAAATGTGACTATTCAATAATATGGTTAAAATACGGAATATCAGCTTGGTTTAAAAAAAAGGTTTCTAAAAGGGCTAATAAAGTTTTAAAACACATAAAAGTGTTATGCTGTTAGGTCCAGGAGAAAATATAACATGGTCCAGACACTATTAATCCAACTGTGGGGGGGATCTTCTATAAACATAGAAGAAAAAAACTAGATGAATTCAAAAATGCTCATTGTGCATTACTTTTGTTGGCACACACCTTTTCTATATCTCTCAAAATTTGTACGGGCATTGCTTTTTAAATTAGAAAAAAGCTTTTTTCTCTAAGTCAATTTCATATTCATAGTAGTTAAAAATGGCTGAATTTCCCCGCCCTAGATTCTCCTGGGCAACACTACCAGGAGGCTCCTGATTGGCTGGGTAGATGGGGGTGAGGTGAAAGGGCATGAGTGGCCTCACCGTGCTGTAACATCCAAAATCCTCAGAGAAGAGACTGCACACGAAGGAGGTGTTGCTAACTATCAAAACTCACAGCTCCAGTCACATACACAACTTCAGGGCTGAGGAAGGCAGCAAACATTCTACAAGGATTTTGTATGCAGAGTTCCAGTGGCTCTGCTTACGGTAACCGACAGCTGTCCAATCCTCCTTTATCACTTGGGATTCTCGGGTGAAGGAAAATCTTTCCAGCCTTATCATATACTGACACTAGTTTAATAGCCCTGGTCCTACATAAAGACATACGGTGCTCACAAAGACAGAATTACACACACCAGATGTGGTCTGTGGGCAGCAAACAACTCGCTAAACCAAAAACACCTTAGGAAACAGGATGAACTTTCAGTCAGTAAGCGTATGTTTATCTTTCCCATTAATCACCTCTTGGTACACTCTCATAAACAGACTGATGCAAGAGACAGGAAACAAAAGCACAGGACATTCACTGACTGAAACAAACTAGTCAAGATGCAGGTAGAACCCAGGTACTAAAATGTGGCCCTGAAGCCATGTAAGGTAGGAAAAGCAAGAATATCCTATTCCAGAGAAAGCAGGGAAATTAAAGGGGGGGGTGTCTTTTTAGTTTATTTCAGCCCCTCAAGGTATCACAGATTAAAAAGGATACTGCCAAAGCCTAGGAATTCACCAGGAGCTAAACAGTAACTGACATGACTTGAACTCCTGTTCATAACCTGATCCTTGCTGTGCAGTGTTTGCTCAGCCTCAGATGCAGATCTTCCTGGATTTCTAGTTATGCACTGGTCACCCGATGCTGAGCCCTCAGGCCCCAGGATATGCCCTGCACCATAAGACACAGGACATCCGTGGAAACAGGGAAGGCTTTCTGGTACAAATATATTGGTGTGTAAGAACCAGTTGGTCTTAGGAGAAGATGAACTCCAGTAGGAGGGAATGTGAGGATCACCTTGGCATTCACCATCTACTGAGCAAAACCACATACCTAGATGGGCAAAGGTGTGGGCCTGGGAAAAACCCAACCAAGCCAGGGATTTAGCTCAGTGGTTCACAACCACAAGGACCTGAGGAGTTCGATCCCTAGCACCAAAAAAATTATAAAACAAAAACTAAAAAAAGTTTTCAGGAGCTGGGGATTTAGCTCAGGGGTGCCGCTGCCTGCCTTGCAAGAGGAAGGTCCTGAGTTTGAACCCTGGTACCCCTGGTACCAAAAAAAAAAAGTTTTCAGCCATATGAAAAGAAGCACTGGTAAACTGTAAGAATGTAAACAAATACTCCTACAAAATAAGCCATTCTTTCTAATATGGAGCCTGATTAAGATGTAAGCCAACCTCACCAAGCTGTTTTAGTTTCAGGAAAAAGAAGCGGGGAGGGTTTCCTTCACAAGTGTAAAAATGGGTGTTATTCAAGATAAACGTGAGGTTATCAGGTAAAGATATGAGAAAATACTGCAGTAATCAATGTTTGATTTCCCAGGATTAGCTCAGGAAAAAAAAACCCAATGTGCTCACTGCTTCCCTGGGAGGAGCAGCCCCTGGCCTCAAATCCAACCCCCTGGTATCCAGGAAGCACAACCTTTCCACTCAAAGAAAACAACTTCCCAGATGAGATCAGGTGACACTGCTACTGTGTTATGCTAACCTAATCTTCCTTGTTAACCTGAGACTGAAATGATAAGACAGATGTTCACATTTTTTCCTTTGTCGGTTTATGAGGGTTTAAATATATATATAATAGCTGGGCGTGGTGGCGCATGCCTGTAATCCCAGCACTCGGGAGGCTGAGGCAAGAGGATCGCTGTGAGTTCGAGACCAGCCTGGGCTACACAGTGAGTTCCAGGGCAGTCTCAACTACATAGTGAGACCCTCTCTCTAAATATATATATATTTAGAGAGAGGGTCTCACTATGTAGCCCAGGCTGGCCTTGAACTTGAGGTGATACCTCCTGCCTCAGCCTCCTGGGTGCTGGGATTATAGGCATGTGTCACCATGCTCCAGTTAAAATTTGAACATTTTTTTCTTTTCTTTTTTTTAAATTTTATTTTCTGGTACCCGGGATCAATCTCAGGACTTTGTGCTTGTGAGACAGGTGCTGTGCCACTAAGCGAAATCCCTGGCCCTTGAACATTTTATCTCTAAGACATGAGTTTTTATTTAATTTTATTTTGTTTTTTGACACAAGGTCTTGCTATGCAGATCAGGCTGGCCTTGAGCTTGCAGTGATCCTCCAGCTTCAACCTCCTGAGTGTTGAGAAAACAGGTGTGCACTACCGCACCTGGCAAGAAGTTGAGTTTTTCCCTCCACTCCCTACTCCCATACCTGAAGGAACATTTCCAGGTTTTCCCCTGCAGCTTCTCTTTTCTCTGTTGGGGAGCATATGAAGTCCAACCACAAGAGGGGATTCTAGGTCTTCACCTCAAGCTCTTCTCTCTGGATCAACTGGGCATTTCACTATTTCCTACCAGCATCTTAGCGTCCACAATCCAAGCCACTACCCCATCTTTCATCGCAAACTGGCTTCTGCTCTTGACTACCCTGCTCTATTAACAGAACCAACAATCGCCCAGAAGACAGCCAAGGCTCAAATATATTGCTGATGCCTAATTCTAACACATGTCTGGTCTGTTTCCAAAATGATCATCATTCTGTTTTCTACTCCCAGTGTCCCTTCAATACCAACAGTGGCTCTTTCAAGCCCTCCACTTCCCCCCTCATTTATATGATCTTGGGAATCAGACAAACCTAGGCTAAAGTCGTGAGTCTGCCAGTGATCATCGGAATGACTTCAGCAGAGTTACTTAACCTCTCTGAACCTCAATCTGCTCATCAGAAAGGGGAAAACCAATGTCACTTTCATGGGACAACTCTGTGGATTATATGAGGATTCAATGTTTGTCAGGACTTTAAGTCAGTGCCCTGATACAAGAGAAGAATGATGCTTTTAAAGACATAAATCAGATTATGTTTCTGTCATTCAAAATCCTTTGCTGGTTCCCTGTCTCGCTCACAAAAAGCCACTGTTCACACAGTGGCCTATAAGTCCCACACAATTCCTCCCACATTGTCACCTTCAAATAACCTCCTCCTATTTCCTCCTCAGGCTGATTTCTTTGTAGTCCTCAAATCCTCTCAAGCCTGACTCTGCCTCAGGGTCTTTGCATTTGCTGTTTTTCTGCCTAGGAAGGTCTTTGACCAAATGTCACCATCTCAAGAGAGATGTTTCATGGCCACCTATCCCCAGGACTCTCTGCTCCTCTGCTTAATCTTTCTGCATGACACTCACCACTTCTGAAGTTCTGTTATTACTGACCTGTTTACTGTCTGACTCTAGCCTCTGTAAGCTCCATGAGAGCTCATTTATCGTCTGTTGTGTACTATATTCCCAGCATCTAAAATTGTGCCAGGCATGGTGGCACATGCCTGTGATCCCAGCACTCAGGAAGCTGAGACAGGAGGATTGCTGAGAGTTCATGCCCAGCCTGAACTACACAGCAAGGCCCTGTCTCAAAAATCAAATCAAATAAAACAAAACAATGCCTAGCACACAGGAGGTACTCAATGTATTTGTTGAATGGAGCAATTCATAAATGTTAGTTTCCAACCTACTTCCTGTTCAGCCTGCGTGGACATCACTGATCACTTCTAATCATCAGCAGAACACTATCAACCCTCAACCCAGATCAACCTAGCAATCCCCTTTCCTCACCCAGGCCTCCAAGCACTGCTGGAGAAAACGCTGCAATCATCAGTGAGGATACCACAGTACTGCTATGGTCAGCTGGCACTGCCTCATTAGAAAATTTATTTATCTACTTCCTGGTTGGCCTCTGTTCCCATCCCTCCTAGCTCCTGGGTCAAGCTTTCATTCCTTGCCTCAGGCCTTCTATGTCCAAGCAGAGGAATGCAGGGGGGCTGGCATGAACTCTCTGAGACTTCTTTTCATCTGAGTTTGCCCAGCTCTGTCCTTCCCTTCAGCTCTTTATAAAACACAAACAC